TACATCAAAATTTCATCTAAGTTGGAACTATACAGCTGCAAGCCGACTCGATTGTTCTAAACTTTAGACATAGGTCGTGAGACTGAAAGATCCTAAGTTCGATTCTTAACAGAATTGTGGATGTTTATTATGGAGGAACACCATATGGCTTGGTAAAAGATGCAAATATGAGTCACTCTCAATCCAGCAGATTGGAGTGATAGGCAGAATACTTTAGGAAACAGTTCAACTGGCATTCAGCCACAATTTAGTTGCCCACTATCTCCAGATAACCTGAATGGCAATTTGATGTGAGTCCTCTAACTCTTAGTGTAGTTGAAAAGTCTGTAAGTAATATAAACCCAGGAAAAGCAGCAGGGTCTAATATACTAGCTCCTGAGATTTTCAAGGATGGTGGTTCGGTTCCAGCAGTTAGATTGAATTAAATCCCAACTAAAATCTGGAAACTGAATGTAATCGCATTCCATCGGTCTCAATCGCTGATCATCTCAGTCTATAAGAAAGGACAAAACTCCTGTTATGACAATATATTAATTAATATAGTGCCCTAAATATTCGCCCTTATTACAGTTTAGCGTTTAATTAGAGTTTGCGAAGCGTGAGCCCGAGAAAACCAGGTTGGTTTCAGACATGGAAGTGAATAAATAAACCAAATATTCACTCTTCGGCGTATTCTGGAACACAAACATACTTTTCGACGTTGTATTCTTTAACCTTTGGGCGGCGTTAGTCTTTGTTAGTCGTGAGGCTCTGTGGCAGTATTTGTCATTGAAACGTGTTCATCAGGATTATCCGCCTTCCTCATTCTTATTTAAATATATCACAGACATGCTTATCGAGATAACGCCTTCATCGTTTGACTTTTCAGGGATTGATCTTCTTCTAGAAGATTCACTTGTCAACTTGGAATGCGCAGATGATATATTTCTGTCTGGCAAAGACGTTGACAAAATGCATAGTCTTCTGACCACCTTAGGCAGCAACGTAAGGATGTTTGTGATGTGGTTTTCTACCTACAAATGCAGAATGTTATTTCGGGATCGGCTCGCCTAATTGCCTGAATTGATGATAGGGAGTGAAGTAGTTGGAGGTGTCGTCCGCTTTTCTTATCTTGTGGATATTATTAGTCTTGATTGTTTGGTGTCTGATGAAATCTGGGCACGGATTCATAAGGCTCGATTGACTTTTGCTAACGTGATTCACTTGAGGCGTAGGCGATGTATCTTTCGTCCAGCCTAAAGAATAATTTATCGCGCATCATTTCACTCCATTCTACTCTATGGATGTGCAACACGGGAATTAGGAGTAGAGGATATTCGTAGGTTACTGGTTTTCGACCATAGGTGTCTACAAAGCATTGGTCCTGTATTTTGGGAAGATGGATTAAGCAATCCCTGGGTTAAGAATAGAGTACTAGGTAAAAATGGTAAACCAACTGATAAGGTAGTAAATCTTTATCAACTAATGTGATTGGGACATGTGTTACGAATGTCCATCCGCCGCCTACCTCGACGAAGGATGTTGCGTCGTGTAGGAGTATGCTGGAAGAAAGCCAGCTGTGGCTAAACCAAAAATAATATTAGTCCATGAAGTCACTTACAATAAGACTGAGCTATATTAATAGATGTAGGCCACCTGGTTAGGGTCTGCATGATTATCATAACCGATGGTTAAGGACTTTGAACGACATGGTTCAAAATCGCTTGCAAAGGTGCAGATGAATCCATTATCTGTCTTCCCCGAATACTAGGATTCAAAATTACTCAAAACCTTTTTATTCCTCTGATTTATATATTCTTTTCGGGTCATATCTTCAATGACTAATCGTTCTTATTACTACTGATACTGTCACTACCTCTACTATTCTAGGATTTGGCCTGACAACTTTATTTCTCTGTACTGATGGAGAACGGCAACTTGAACCGATGTTCTGAGTGTTTATCTGACCTTAAAGCACATAAAATCACGGTTTAATCGAATAAAATATTGTTAATGCATTTTCATTTAGTGTCTGAAAGTAATACATAATCTCTTATAAAAATCACTTGATTTTATACTACTAAATTCAATAGTTAGTAGTTTGAGAATTGAATTAAATAAATAAACTAAAGTAGTCTCATCACTTTTGACGATGTAATTGCGTCTAGTTTTAAGGTTTCATTCTCTGAAGAAACAAATTTCAAACTAGATACGAATAAATAAGGGTTATATTTAATTAGCCATAAAACGAATCGAAGTGTTTAGTAGGTATTGCAACATTTTTGTGTTTTTTTTAATAGAAGAAAGCCTCATACTGAGACTACAACTGGATAGCTGGAATACGGCCTTTCTTCGAGATACTGACAGATTCAACGAATTTAAGATAGCCCACAGCAACAGGTTTGTAGCCGTAAATAAATCCCCTTTCACGGTCTACTCACTGGAGAGGGAATTACTATGGAGAACAGCTGGAAAGGGATAAAAGATGCAATCACTTCCATTAATGTTAGGAGGTTCCCGACCACAAGAAGCACCATCACATGGATTGGATCACTGTTAATAAACTGGATAAGGTTCAGGAAATAAGGAACAAAGGGGCGGCAGTCAATATCAGCCGAACAACAGTAGGGAATGTGAAGGCACAAGCTGAATACAAAGAAGTGAACAAGCAAGTGAAGAGGAGCATCAGAACTGACAAACGTAAATATGTGGAAGATTTGGCAATGACGGCGGAAAAGGAGAAGGAAACATGAGACAACTGTATGATACAACAAAGAAACTCGCTGGAAATTACCGTAAACCTAAAAAGACTAGTGAAAAGCAAGGAAGGCAAGATAATCACCAACATTAAAGAACAACGGAACAGGTGGGTAGACACTTCAAAGAACTCTTGAATCGACCAGCTTCACTGAACCCACCCAACATCGAAGTAGCACCCGCAGACCTCCCAATCGATGTTTTCCCAAAAACAACTGAAGAGATCAGCATGGTCATCAGACAAATCAAAAGCGGCAAAGCAGCGGGACCAGACAACATTCCATCAGGGGTACTGAAAGCAGATTTAGCAGCAACTGCAAAAGTACCGCATATTCTTTTCAGTACGATTTGGGATGAATAACAAGTACCAACAAACTGGAAAGAAGGACTTCTGATCAGAATACCAAAGAAAGGCAATCTCAGCAAGTGTGATAACTATAGAGGCATCACTTTTCTTTCAATACCTGGGAAAGTCTTGTATTGTTAAACGGAGTCAAGGACTCCGTAGACGCCCAATTTCGAGATCAACAGGCTGGATTCCGTAAGGATCTTTCGTTTACTGATCAAATCACAACTCTACGTATCATTTTGGAACAATCAATTGAATGGAATTCATCACTCTACATCAACTTCATTGACTACGAGAAAGCATTTGATAGTGTGGACAGGACAACACTATGGAGGCTTCTTCAACATTACGCATGTGTTGGAATTATTAACTATATTTCATCATGTTTGGTCTGAGAATTCTTTCAGATGGTTTAACAAGATAAATGTTCTACGATGATGATGCTTATCTAAACGATCAGATGAAAGCTTCTTCATAGATCTATAATCGACTCGACACTTTTCACACATCTCTTTAGATTATAATTCCTTATTAATGCTAAATTGATACATTCCATGAACTTTCTAATGTGTTACATCCCGAAGGGTACTATGAATGGTAACTTTTGAAAATTATGTACGGACCAATACTATGTGTATAGTTTTATTGTATAATTGTTAACTAACTAAACTATTCATATTCGTATCCCTCAAATTATAAGCTTTATTTTGCCCTATGAACTATGATTATATGTTTTACCATTCTTGAGTTATCCCCAGTCTATTGATTACTGTTCCTCTCTATTCACTGCCACATTTGGCCAAATCTTATACAAATGTTATTTTCTATTTTGTTGGTACGATGTGGTCTGTTTGGTTGGTATATAAACCCAGTATGTTTGGGAATAATAGTTCATATTTCAGAGGTTGTTATTGGTGTTGTGGACTTAACTGGTTGGGCTAGGCAGATAGCAGGACCGACAAGGACTTCAGACTGTTCGTACGGGTTTTATTCTTCATCGGTGTGATCGATAAGTCACTGTCCTCTAACTAGCGATATCATTACGTTATATATTATTAGGACACATGGCCACAAGTTATAACAAAGAACATTCATCTAAAGTTGATCGAATAGTTTCATAGTATTTAGGTCCCAAATTGATGTATGAAACATTAAAGAAAAAGAATGTATATATAAATTCTTAACAAATGAATTTAAAGCAAAACCCAACGTTTTTATCTGATAATCTGGTTCAAACTTTTCAAAAAAAAATTGGTGAACGGTTGCTCAAACATTGTGGATTGTTCGAGGTTAGACATTAACACCTTTGGATGTCAGCTCAGTGGTCTATCGGTTAAGTGCTCTGGTGCGAGACTGGTATGTCCTGGGTTCGAATCTCGCGAGTGCGGGATCGTGGATGCGCACTGCTGAGGAGTCCCATAATAGGACGAAACGGTCATCCAGTGCTTCTAGATTTTCCATGGTTGTCTAGCTTCAATTGATTCATGATTTCAACTATGAAAAAGAAAATTATCGATTTTCTTAATTGAATGTATTTCCAATACATAATCATAAATATAATTTAATATGAATATCATCCTATCGGTTACAGTCTCATCTTATCGATTCTTATTGGAATATTGATTTTTTATTATTATTGTTGTTGAAAAAAATTGAATCAATAAAATGCACATCAACATTTTAACCAATCAAAATTAAGTTATATGAAGCATACTAATCGAATGCATTAAATTGATTGGTTAATATTTTTAATATATGGTGCAGATAATTTATTCACTTATGCTTACATATATTTTAACCAATCAAAATTAAGTGATATGAAATAGGTCAATTGAACGCATTAAATTGATTGGTTAATATTTTTATTATGTGCGATAAGTTTATTCACCTATACCTACATGTATTTTAAATATTCATATTCGTATATTATAGAATTTCAAAATGCCGGTTTCTATGGTACACTTTTCAATGTTTCAATGATGTAAATAAATCCTAAAATGATATTCTAGGCATCAATGTGATAAATCTTGATATTTTTTATAGATGATATTATTTAGAATGAAATACTTAATGATATCCTGTACAGAATAGTAAACAAGTAAAAACAACCCCACCACCACCATCACATAACTTTATGACTGGATTTCATATTATCCTCCTATCCAATCCCTGTGAATAGTTAGAATAAACATTCAACTTCTATAAATTCATGAAATCATTCAATTTGAAAATTTATCTTCTATAAAATTATCCAAATCAATGAAGAATACAAATACAGTTTTAAATGAAACTATATGTATGAATACATCAGGGAATAATGATTATTTGAATGAAAATGAATCTAATAGTAATCATACAACTTCTATATTAGGATTTAATTCAAGAATATTTAATAATTGTGCTGAATGTGGTTTAAGAATTATTAATTTAATGGATACATGTTATGCAATGGGTTATTTATATCATAATTCATGTTTTGTATGCTGTTGTTGTAGTAAGTAATGTTTAAATGATTTTTTATAAATATTTACTATTATTTGTTATTTAATAGTTGAATTTATGAGTTGAATAAAACTAGAGCATGATGGAAAACTTGAAAGCATTGGATGGTCATTTCATCCTAGTATGGGACTCCTCAGTGGTACACATCGACATTCCAGCTCATGTGATTTGAATTAAGGGCCTTTGATCTCGTGTTCGAACTCTTAACTCTTAGACCAATGAGCCAAAATCCAACGGTGTTAATATATAATCACAGTGGTCTAGAGGTTAGGCGTTCTCATGAGAGATTGTGGATTCGCAATTCTGAGGAGTCTCACAATGAGAGAAAACGGTCGGTTAGTGCCTCTAGGTTTTTCATGGTGTTCTAAGATCAATCGGTTCATGATCTCAATGAAAAAGCTAGGAATTACATTGATTTTATTCTTTAAATTATAAATATTTTAAATGAGGTAAATTTAAGTCAAGAGAGTAGTGGATTAATATCAAAGTATTGTACATATAGTACAAAGAAGAGAAGGAGAACAAATATTTTATGAGAATAACATGAAAAAATTCATTTTATTTCCCTGATGCTGACAATCTATGCTTCAGTACCTAAATTATACATACAAGTTAATATAAACATACTGTGGTGTGTACTACTGATTTCGACAGATATAAGTAGTATATATATCATCAATCAATAGTGAAATACCTAGAGGCAGGAGTTCAAGAATATCGAAGAAAAGACAACGATAATATATAATGATTGGTGTGGAAAGGAAAGAACAATAAAGTGTAAGACGATTGATTGACATTTTGCAAATGAAGTATTTACTGTATGGTTCTCAAATTTTTTTAAGACAATGTGTAATTCTATATGCAAACACATTTGAAAGCTCGTTTGGCTTTTGTAAACTTACGTGACCTATGGCGAAGACAAGACATCCGTCTATCAATTGAGGGACGAGTATACTGCGCATCAGATCGCTCGGTTCTACTTTACGGCTACGAAACGTGGCCATTAACAGTAGAAGATACTCATAAGTTACTAGTATTTGACCACAGATGCCTTATAAATATTGCTCGCATCTGCTGGGATCACGGGATAAGTAATAGTGAGGTTAGACACAGGGTATTAGGGAATAATGGTAAATCAGTTGATGAGGTTGTGAACCTTCATCGACTAAGATGGTTTGGCCACGTGTTACGTATGCCTGAACACCGATTACCACGACGCGCTATGCTGACTAGTATAGGGGATGGTTGTAAGAGAGTTAGGGGCGGCCAAACCAAAACGTAGCATCAGTGCTTGAAGTCACTAATTTCTAGTCTGAGCCATGTTGGTAGATGCAGACTACTTGGTTGGGGTCCGCGTGACTATCGTAAACAATGGTTGGAGACTCTAAGTGACATGGCTTAGAATCGATCACAATGGCGTAGGTGTATATACTCTTTATCTTCCCTTAAACCTTGAGATTAAAATTGCTTCATAACTTTCTTCCTTCCTATACTATATCTTAATATACAACCTATCTTTTCTATATGACCACCATTAAATTAACTACTTCTATGAATTCGGTGTTCATCTTGTTGTGCTAACGAGGTATGGTAACTTAGACCGATGCATAAATGTGCCCGATCCCACGTTGTGGCTGACTGGCTGACTTGTGTTCTCGTTTACTACAATATCAGTATCATCATTTAGTTGATTGTGTTTATCATCTATAATGAACTATCGATTCATCTTAACATAATGAAGTTGAAAAGAAATAAAGAGAACTGTTGTAAATGCGAAAAGAATGTATGAGAGAAAATTCCAAGACGTCAAACCTTTTTAATAAAGGTCATCAAATTTGTAATCAGATTCTTGAAAATATCATAAGGTAACATTGATATATTTTAGTAGTATAAATACTACTTAGTAACTAATAAATAATTATTAAAGTTCAGTCTTTTAGTATTAGGCTAGATTGCAAGCGATCGGTAGGGGGTCTTAATTGACATAAGTTGGATACCGGCTCAGTGGTCTATCGGTTAAGTGCTCTGGTGCGAGACTGGTATGTCCTGGGTTCGAATCTCGTGAGTGCGGGATCGTGGATGCGCACTGCTGAGGAGTCCCGTAGTAGGACGAAACGGTCGTCCAGTACTTCCAGGTTTTCTATGGTTGTCTAGCCTCAATTGACTCATGATCTCAACTCTATAAAATTACTAAAATCTCCAAGAAACCCTTTCTGATAAGTTTTATACTTTATTAAATATCTTTAGAAGGATAAATCTGATGAAATTCTGAGGGAATCGATACCGTCTTGTGAGATTCGAACAAGCATTATTCAGTCTCATAATTCAATAAAGTTATCATGGAGCTGTTTGAATTGTTTAATCCCAATCACATAACAGCAAAAAATTAAAACATGATATTAAGTCATTTAGATTAGTAGTCACATTACAACTTGATTAATTAAAATTTATCCAAATTTAGGAACTTAAATAACATTGGTCACCAATCAGTGCATCCGATCATGTGAATTCAAGACTGCTGCTACTACCTTGACGTGGTGGTCGGGCTTGCCTATCGTGATGAACCAATCGAGCTATACTGGCTGGAACAATCGTTCCTCAAGTTCCTATCATGCCAGATAGGTCGGTTGAAGATCAGTAAGACTAAAAGCAGCAAACCCAAGGTCTGAATGCAAAGTGTTACTGCTGACTGTACAGAGGTATGACAGCAGTAAGGTGTTTCCTTCAGACAACCAGCATAACAGCGATGCTGCCTTCCCACAAGGAAGGAAGGGTTAGAAAAGGTCGACCCTAAAAATGCACACCTCGCCTTATCCCACGGATATCCGTCTTCGGCAGTAACGTTCCAACACGTACGGAGCTAACACAAAAATTACCCACAAAAAGGTCGTGTGTGACCGACCTCAAGCAGTTGTCTCTTGGGCACTGCAGTCACGCTCTCAGGTCATTAAGACCACTTCTAACCCAATTTCCTTTTCAGGTACCTCTAGAAGAACCATTCCTTGGTGTGGGCAACCGGGAAGTGATAACTGCCCTCATACCTCAAACAGCACTCAAGATCACATTCCTACAAATTGAAAAAAACAACTGTCAATTGCTACATGGCTTTAAATGATTTTCTAGCTAGAGTTAATCTATCAATCAACAAAAACCAAATGATATGCTGACCTATAACTCAATTGGTTAAGACAATAGAATCTGAAGGAATAAATGTTATCACAATAGTCAAGTTTGACCACTACATCAAGGTAGCAACCATGATCAAGAATGTTATTCACTGAGGGAATAATTTTTTTTCTGGTTAGCGTGTGTTTAGCAAGTTGGTTTTCTACGGGATGGGGTCACTAACCCCATGCCCAACCCTCCTCCCTTATCCGAGCTTGGGACCGGCAGTAGCCCCCGGAGGAGCTACAGGCGGAGTTATTGGTTCTAGTTCATTCACTGAGTAAAATTAACTCTAAATTGAAGAATCTCCATAAGCTTTTTCTTCACAAGAATGGTGTTATAACAAGTGATCAATCTCAAGAATAATTTCCAAGGTTCTGGTAGATTGATATCTAGTGAAGTTTCTCTATAGAGTCACAGTATGGTAACTACAAATGTGCATCAGATTCCAGCTGACTGACTCATAATATTTTTATCTATCTATAACATAGAATGATATTCATCATTCTATGTTACCAAAAGACTTGTTGTTCTATGGAATAATTAATCATTCGAATCATACTCACCAATGACCTTATGATTAATAACTAACATCTATGAAGTGAAACCATTTCTTATGATTGTGTAAAAAGTCAATATTTCTCTTTTTGTTGTTGCTATGATATATTGTTTCATTATTTGAGTTTACTTGTGGGTAATGTTTATCTATATGTGTATGACATACATATATGAGAGTGTAGGTACATATGATACGGAATTGTGTAGGTAAGAAATCAATAATCACACATTTGAAATGTGTTAAAAGATTCAGTGAAATGATCATTATTTAATTTGTATTGAAATATCTTATTTATTTATTTGAAATCATAAGTATTGGTACAACGGGGCACTAGATACACAAATCTCTTTTGATTTGTGTGAGGGCTATAATACTGCCCGGGTGCCCAAACCGAAGCACGTGGATTTCTTAAGGGGCCACACTCGGTGCCTTCGACCTGAAGATCTGATCCACAAGGCGGTAGAGCATCGTAAGGAGATGCAGTCTCATGTTAACCGTTGACCGACGATTGATTCATACGCTATTTGTTCCCTCAGGATACTGGAGCCCATGTGCACCATTGGTTTGGAATCAGGGTGGACTCACTGTGTCCACCAACCCGGTTGAAGTGCCGGACATTCGTTTTTCGTCCTCTCAATTTCGTAAACAACACCCGTGGTACGAGAGAGCAGTGAATAGGACTTCCCTAGTAGAGGCTGTATATTCGCGTGGCCATGTGAGAGCATGAGAGGGGATGGAAATGTTATAGAAGCTTATTGTCAGCTGTTTATTAATTCTAATACTTTTGGATTTTAATGTTCATTTCCTATTGTGTTTCAATTGATTAATTTAGAGAGAACGTTACGTGGGAAAGTATTTTACAAAGATCAAGATAAAATCTATTGTGAAGAAGATTATCTGGTAAGATTCCAAAGACTTTAAAACTTATGTACATACATATACAAACGGTAAAATTAAAATGCACACCTTACCTTGAACATTGTGTGAGCCAATCAAAAAACAATACTCAATTCTGAAAAGAATTTTTGATGAAATAATATTTAAATCAGAGGGATTGAAGAGCTATGACATGAATAGTTAAATCTTTTTGGATGCCGGCTCAGTGGTCCATCGGTTAAGTTCTCTGGCGCGAGATTGGTAGGTCTTGGGTTCAAATCGTGAATGCGCACTGTTGATGGGTCCCATAGTGGGACGAAACGGCCGTTCAGTGCTACCATGTTTTTCATGATGATCTAGCTTCAATTGACTCATGATTTCAACTAGGAAAATCTTTTCATGGTAATTATTTCTTATATTAGACGGAAAAAAGGATTAGAGTTAAAAGTTAGAACTGGTGCTTTCATCATGAACTCGCATCATCTATGATGTAAGAATAGTTTGTAGCCATATACTTGAACGGATTTTGTATGAAACTTCTAGAAGCCCTATCGTAAATCTGATTACCTCGTCCATCCGGTATAGCGCCACCTTGAAAACTTTGAGATTAATCCCAAAAAATTCAACAATCCTATCAATATTGTTGTGTTCTTTAAATCTTTTTGTTTTGTGCTCTATTTCCCTGAAGAGTTTATAAATTTCCCACAGTTATCTTAAGAATCTTTCAAGTTCCTTGCTACTGCTTAATCTTGTCATGTTTTGTTGTCTAACTAGAAAAAGATAGATAAAATTTATTCAGTTCTAACATAGCTTCAAAAATGTTACAAGGTAACTATCAGTATGTGTAACTATCAGTATGTTTTACTAATAAACGACCCAGCTACTCCCATTGCTTAGTATTCTTATACAATGACACTCAACAAGACCCCATAATCAGAACACGTTGAACATGAATGAAATTGTATTCAAAATAACAAGGAAAGGGGAACAGCAATCAATTGTTAGAAAAACGTTCCTATATTTATAGTATATGCATAAGAAGCTTCTAGATGTTTTCTCCAATAATTTGCCAGAGCTGATTGGTTTAGAATTAGCCAGTCAGCGTGCGCCATCACGACCATGCACATAATGTGCTTTAATCCGGTTTATTTCCCGCTAACAGTGTGTTTTGAATTTCTCACTCAAATCCAATAACTACTTTCACAAATCTCATTGGTTAATGAGTATAGTTTACTTCTACCATGCAAAGACATATATACATATATTTATAGTGGAAATCGATATACACACATTTTTGTGTAACGATACTTACGTAATATTCAGATTGTAATAAGAAGTAGAATCTAGAGTATTCGTTTTGCCCCATTTTTAGGAATTATCATTTAGATGTATCTACACATCTCAGGGTTGATATTTATACTGAAAGTGGAACTAAATATCTACTACACTAAACATCTTTTTTTGTGCAACAGACATTATCATGGCAATTCTCTAAGGATGAATCTATATCCATAAATATTGATTCATATCAGAAGGGGTTTTAGTGGATATTATAGTAATTTTAATGGTTAAAATCATGAGTCAATTGAAGCTAGATCACTATGGAAAACCTGGAAGCACTGGACGGCCGTTTCGTTCTGTTGTTGAACTCCTCAGAAGTGTTCATCCACGACCAAACCATCCAGCGCAGAGAACAAAACTCCATCAAAATCACCCACCTGAGCTACTAATCTTCTCCACCATCTTATTCATTCTCTCTATTCAATTATCACATAAGGGTTATAGATTAAAAACTTAGAGAACACACATTTATTGTCTGTCACGATAACATTTGGTTTTTATTTAATTATTATTATTTTACAGTATTGTGGATTTCAACAAACAGTGGAGAAATGTTTTGCATGTGGACATATTATTGCTGAAACAGTAAGTTTAACTATTCTTTGATGTTTTTGTTACATATAGTTGGAATCATTAGTCAATTGAAGTTAGATCACCATGAAAAACCTGGAAGCACTGAACGGCCGTTTTGTCCTATTATGGGACTCCTAAGCAGTACGTAACTCAGTGAAGACATTGGTTGATGTGTCTCTCAATTTTGTGGATTGGTTGAAGTTAGACAATAACACCGTTGGATTCCGGCTGGCTCAGTGGTCTAGAGATTAAGCGCTCGCACGCGAAACTGTTAGGTCCTGGATTCGAATCTCGCGAGGCGGGATCGTGGATATGCACTGCTGAGGAATCCCATAATAGAACAAAACGGCTGTCCACTGCTTCCAGATTTTTCATGGTGGTCTAGCTTCAATTGATTTATGATCTCAACTATCAAAATTACTATAATATCCACAAAACCCTTACTGATAATAAACACAATAATCACCAAAATAATATCAATCCTATGAAGTAAAATAATTTTGGCTATCATTTTAATTGACTAAAAATATATATTTACTTAATGCTTAGAAAATCCCTTCAATTATCTTGAAAGCTTCGCCCTATTTGGGACTCGTCAGCTGGATGTACCTGTCACATCTCAGAGTTGATGTTCACTCTGGGATTCGAATCCAGTATCGCTCACTTCAAAATGATAGAATAACTTTGAAATGTCCTTTTTCCTTCTTATCTTGATCTTTAATATTTATTTAGTCAATATTAATTTGTAATAAAGCTACGAACTATGGTTCTTATCTTAAAAAAATTGTGAAAAAGAGATGTCCTAATGTTAGTATATACTATTTCTTGTTATTCATAGATACTTCTAGCTGTTGGAAAAACATATCATCCAGGATGTTTTCGATGTTGTATTTGTACTAAATGTTTAGATGGAATACCATTTACAATAGATTCAAATAATTTAATTTATTGTTTATCAGATTATCATTTAATTAATGGACCATTATGTGCTGTTTGTGGATTAGTAATTATGCCAGATGAAGTAAGTTTGGATAATTGAATTCATTTAGTATTGTTTGTTTTGAATCTTCTTATTGATGTTTTGGGACTGCTATTGATTAGTCTCTTATTGGCCGTTTGTGCATAATGTACGTATTGCTTCGATATAGCCTTAATTCGCAAGCATTATAAGCAAAGATGGATAGTGGCTAACAGTGGAATCCAGTTTGACGCACGCCGCTTCGTCCTATTTGGTACTCGTCAGCTGGATGAACCTGCCACATCCCAAAGTTGATGTTCACTCTGGAACTCGAACCCAGTACTGTTCACTTCAAACGCCATTACGTTATCCACTCCCAATGGAATATAGGCCTCCGACCAGCATTCTCCAACCCACTATGCTCCATTGGGAGTAACAGGCGTAAGTAAGTACCAATGTAGCAGTATTAATAAAAGTAGGAAAGATTATAGATAGAAAAAAAAACTTTAAGAGAGGATAGAATGAAAAGATAAAAAGTGAACGACTCTGTATTATTGTGATTGGTTCTCGTCCATGTTGTATAAAGTTTTTAAATATTGGTTGTGATAATCGTGCGGAATACAACTAAGTAGTCTGAATCGAACTACAAGGTTCAATCCAGATATCAATCACAACATTAAATGATATCACTTAATGATTTGACAGACTCTAGCTTTCTTCCTACTTATTCCTACTCCAATCGACATCGCTTGTCCGGTTAGGTAGTGTGGTTGGACTATATGCAAAACATGTTCCAACCCCTTCAGTCGATGAAGACTTATTATTTCATTAATAGATTTATCATATTTGGTTAATTTCTTACGGCTTAATACAACATTGCTCATTCAACTATTCCAACATAAAGGTGGAATATTTCGAACGCATGTTTTATCAAATATCGATAGTCTATGATTATCCTTTCATTCTTTCTCGTTATTTTCTTTTATGTATTTTTCTGTCTTTTCACTTTTCCTTCTCTGTTTTACAAAAACTTAGGGTTCAAATGAAGTTAAACGAGTTGTGGCACTTGGCAAAGAGTTTCATATTGATTGTTATCGTTGTATTGTAAGTAGTTTATATTCATTTTTAAATAGAATGTATTAAATTTATTGTTCTTCAGTTGTATACTACTAATCAAATAATAAGTAGTATAATGTATATTAGAAATTTCAAATCTTTACAGTTTGTCTTTCTTGTTTAATCGATGGCAATTCCAGATGTAATTCTTTCACTTACTGACTTACTTACGCCTGTTACTCCTCGTGAAGGAGCATGGGACGCTCACCAGCATTTTCCATACAACCATGTCCTGGGCAATTCTTTCCAGTTCTTTCCAATTAACATTCATCCTTTTCATATCTGCCTCTTTTTCTCAAAGTAATGTTTTCTTTGGCCTTCCTCTTTTCCGCTTCCCTTCCGGATTCCAAGTTAGGGCTTGCCTTGTAATGCACGCTGGTGATTTCCTTAATGTATGTCACATCCACTTCCAACGTTTATTCCTAATTTTCTACTCAGCTGGAAGCTGATTTGTCCTCTCCCATAAAACACTGTTGCTGATAGTATCCGGTCAGTGATAGTTGAGTATTTTGCGTAAACAGCTATTTATAAATACTTGTACCTTCTTGACGATGTATGTAGTAGGTCTTCACGTTTCAGCTCCATACAGTAGAACTGACTGTCTTGACGTTCGTATTGAAGATTGTGACTTTGATATTGATTGACAGTTGTTTTGAGTTCCATATGTTCTTCAATTGTAGAAATGTTGCCCTTGATTTTTCAATCCTCGCCTTTATATTTGCATCAGATCCTCCTTGTTCATCAAAGATGCTGACCAGGTACGTGAATATTTCCGCATCTTCCAGAGTTTCGCCATCAAGTGTGATTGGCTTGGTGTTCTCCGTGTTGCATTTGAGAATCTTGCTTTTTCCTTTGTGAATGTGGAGGCCTATCGATGCGGAGGCTGCTGCTACATTTTCTGTCTTCATCTGCATTTGTTCGTGTGTATGAGATAGGAGGGCTAGGTCATCTGCGAAGTTCAAATCATCTCATTGATTCCGAGATGTACATTGTATTCTTTCACACGTATTGTCATTTGATTACTATATTGAATGATGTGTCCATAAGTTCATAGATAATATCAACTTCTTCCTACATAACTTTAGTTTATACCAGTTTTTGGAGACTGTATACTGTTCTATTAAAAAGTGAAGATTTATCATTTGGAAAAGTAGAAAATACATGTGTAAATGAAGCGTACTCAATGTTTTTTAGATATAGTGGGTTCTAGGTTCGAAACCATAACCTCGTTTTCACTTTGATTTGATTGATCAAACAACAATATTGTTAGATTTTTATGGTCTATTCGATTATTACGTTACTTATTTATACTTATTACCTCTAGTGAAACATGGGGCACCAACCAAGAATCTTCAACCAACTCTGTCTTCAGCTCTCCTTCCCAGTTGTATTTCAAATTATAGTCTGAATCCTTAGTAAGTCTGTTTAGCACGAGAAGCCACGACACAAAATATATCCTAATTTTGAGGATTAATGGTCATATCGAGATATGAACTCGTTTCAAACATCAACTTATTATCCATTGAGCTAGTAGGTTCAGATAGATATTAGCTTGTTTAACAGGTATGAATTTCGAAAGTTCTATCAAGAATAAATCAGCTAAGTAGACGAATTTTGAACAAGTAGTATATTCCCAGGTTTGTAGAAGTTCTAGTTACCAGACACTTTAGGCCTCTTTCATACCTTCAAAAAACACTTCAGTTTCACTTAGATCTTTCTCTGATATTCGTTAATACATAGTGCTAATTAAATTCAACCAATTAAGTAGTACTGTGGCCATTGCTACAAGTAACACGAAATCTCATAGACTGTGTTTCAATTTTAAGTGATTGGGGGCAGTCAGTCCTAATATGTCTTTGTAGAATGCGCCGAGCAACCCCTATTCAAGCTTTACGGAGGGTCAGATATCACGAAAACTATGTCTGAGGTTTCTTAAACACTACTTCCACCCTTATTCACTTACTTCTATTACTCCTCGTGGAGGAGGATAGGTCTCCCACCAGAATTATCCATTCAACTGTGTCTTGGACAACACTTTCCAGTTGTTTTCAGTTACTATTTATTCTTTTGATATCTGCTTCCAATTCCTATAGCAATATGTTCCTTGGTCTTCCTCCTTTCCGTTGCTTTGCGATGCAGTCTGATGATTTCTGAAATGTATGTCCTATTCAGCTCGAACGTCTTTTTCCAACTTCCTTCTTAGCTTCTACTTCCAATCATTTAATATTAAAAAATTAGCAAATTGAACGTTAAATCGCTTATTTTAGTGATTGTTATTGAAAACTGATCTCGATAGAATTCGAATCGAAAGATGAATATGACATTAGTCCCTATTGAGTGATTAGTCAATATGAATTGATGCTTGTCAGTGAAATAAGTTGAAATGACCTACACATCAGACGATTTTAAAAAGAAATCAGTTGACTAGACTATCTATTACACAACTTATAACATTTGATAGATCAATTGTTTTAGTTACCAACTAAATTATCCATTCTTGAACCATTTATTCTGATTGTTACTGAGAGAATTTCAATATACGGTTACAGATTGATTTAAGCATGAGCAGAAGTATTCACAACTGTGTTTTATCACGAACATGTCTAAGGTTTCAAAGGCAGTAATGTTAGATGGAAAGAACAAACACTGAAAGAGTTGGAGTTTAAAATGAGATTTTTGATAAAAGTTACACTTCAATATTCAGTGATCTTCTACTGAACAAACGAAAAAGTAACATTATAAGCAAAGATGGACAGTGGATAGCAGTGGAATCCAGGACGCACGTCGCTTCGTCCTATTTAGGACTCCTCAGCTGGATGTAACTGCCACATTTCAGAATTGATGTTCACTCTGAGATTCGAACCCAGTACCTTTCTCTTTAAACGCATCACGTTATCCACTTAGCTACTGAGTCCTGAGAGTCACTTGCTTGTGCAATGGGGTGAACTTTAAATTTACTTTGTATTGTTTAGTTGAATCTTCCCATCAGGACTCAGTAACTAAGTGGATAACGCCATGACGTTCGAAGCGAGCGGTACTGTGTTCGAGTCCCAGAGTGAACATCAACTCTGGGATGTGGCAGGTACATCCAATTGACGAGTCCCAAATAGGATGAAACACGCGTCCTGGATTCCGTTGATGGCCACAATCCATCTTTGCTTATAATGCTTGTGAATTAAGGCTATATCGAGGCAATACGCGCAGTGTGCTCATATGGCCAATAAGAGACTGACCAGTTGCAGTCCTAAACATGAATGTGAACATTCAAACAGACGATATTAAGTGAATTCAAAAAAATAACATGAAATGTGACCGGTAGTGGAGTCTATGACAATCTCTGTGTTCTGTTTAAAACTCGTCTATTTGACATAACTGTATCCGAGAGTTGACATTAACCGTTTATTATGATTCATACAATAATTCAATATAATATTCTATTTATTTATTTAGGATTGTAAACGAAATTTAGGTGATGAATCAGATAAACGTTGTTATCCATTGAATGAACCAGATCCTTCAACATCTGGACGTATTATCCAACGATTATTATGTTTAAATTGTCATTTACAACGAATTGGTGCTATTCCTGCAACATTAGCTGGTACTAGTGGAAACACTGTAATAAACACTAATAATAATAATAATAATAATTCTCATCATTATACTACTAGTACTAATAATATTGCTGTTGCTGGGAATCATATAAAATCAAATAGTGGAATTATAAGTCATGCTAACACAACACCTATAAGTAATATACGTTATGCAACTATGCCAAATAGAATTCATAAAGTTAATAAATTAAATACAATCAATACAAATCAATATTATCAACATCATCCTTCTAATCATTCGTATAATAATAATCCATCTTCATCAACTTCCTTATTAACACATAGTTATTTACCAACAACATCATTTAGTCGTAATATACAACATACAATACCAAATTCAACAACTTCTTTAATATCAAATTTAAATCATCGAAATACTACTACTAATAATCATACTAGTAGTAGTAGTAGTAGTAGTAATAACAATTATGCAATAAATTGGGAAAAGACACGTACCAGTGGTATGAATAATAATAATAATAATAATAATAATCATAATGGTAATCATTCACAATATACAAATATTCATTAGAGGGGGGGGGTGATGTCAATTCTTTTGATAGAAACTATGAATGATATGAGTCTATCTGTATTCGATCATTATTGATGTTACTATGGTAACCTTTTACTTTCTTTCTTTTTATTCTCATTTTTGTCAATGACACATTCACAGTTGTTTTTTTTATTTTCGATTCTTTTCTTTTCTTTTTTCCTTTTTTTTTCTTTATTGTTTTAATATGTGATTGTGATTTTTTGTTTTCTTAGTGTTTTTTTTTTCTCTAGTCGCTCCCTATCATCTTCTAACGATTGAGTTATTTGGCATCAATCACTAATATGGTTTATATTACTTACTTACTTACTTACTTATGTCTTTTACTCCAAATGGAGGATAGGCTGCCGACCAGCATTCGCCAACTCACTCACTCTGTCCTGAGCCTTCCTCTCTAGTTCTGTTCAGGTTTTGTTCATTCGTCTCATGTCTGTCACCATTATTTCTCGGCGTTATGTGTTCTTTGATCTTCCTCTTCTTCTTATTATTATTATTCATTATATATATTGTCTATGTATGCATTTTCAATTATATACTTATACAAAGTTGAAAATATACGTTTGCCAAAAAAATATTAACACATTAAAGTACAATAGGTTTATCAGAAAAGGGTTTTTGGGAAGATTTTAGTAATTTTATATAGTTGAAATCATAAGTCAAATGAAATTAGACCATTGTGGAAAACTTAGAAGTACTGGATGGCTCAGTGATCTAATGGTTGGGCGGTCACGTACGAAACTGATAGATCCTGGGTTTGAATCTCACAAAGTGGGATTGTGGATGTGCACTGCCACTGAGGAGTCCCACTATTGGACGAAACTGCCGTTCAGTTCTTTCAGGTTTTCTATGGTGATCTAGCTTCAATTGACCACGGATTTCAACTAATAAAATTACAATTTGTTTGTTCTTTTCTTCTTTTTGATAAAAATATATCTTTATTAAAAATAAAAATAAAATTTTTTTCCCTTATTCAACTTACTACTCAATTAATAAGATATAGTAGGTAAGTGAATGCATATTTCATATCTTTAGTATATCTTATTATTTAATTGTTTATAGCAAGTAAATTTTATTATTAAAGTCCTGGGTTCGAATCTCGCAAGGTGGGATCATGGATGGGCACTGCCACTGAGGAGTCCTACAATAGGACGAAACGACCATCCAGTGTTTCCAGATTTTCCACGATGGTCTAGCTTTAATGAACTCATGATTTTAACTATAATATTATAAGAAACTTGAGAAAAAATATCATAATATTAAATATGGTAAGCAAAGTTGAATAGTGGCTAGCAGTGGAATCCAGTAATGGATAGAAACGTTGATAAGATGTCATTTGAATGATTGAAATTGGTGAGTAGATATTACCTTCACTGCATTATTGTAAGATCGTTGTTCAAGAGTTTTTACTATGAGGAGACTTATCATCATAAATAAAGCTGTTATTATTGCCATTATTACTAGTAATTTTAGTTTTAAGTAGTTACAATAATCACACAAACCCCTAGCCAGCTAGTTTATACCTAGTAATACAGCTAATATAAACAGTGAATGACTTCGTGGATTGATGCTATGTCTTGATTAGGCTACTGCTAGCATCCTTACAACAGACCTTTACACCAACAAACGTCATATGTCGAGGTGAATGATGGGTAGATATATGTCACGCATGTCAGTTGATAAAGATTCATCACCGTGTCAAATGATTTGTCATTCTCACTTATATCTGTGTTTAATCTCAGTAATGCTAACACGATGGTTCGGAAGTATACGAGCAATGCTTCGAAGATACATATGATCGAAAACTAGTAACCTACGAATATCTTAAACTTTTGAAAATTACTTTTCACAGATAAAAATAAGGACAGAGCTAACTGGTGTGTAACATGCTCGTCCTTTCATTGATAGACAAACATCTCGCCTGCAACGCGAGGGACGTAGGTTGCTAGAAGCCAGTCAAGCCTTCTGAGTTAATGTCGAGATTTCGATAGTCAACAACTCACCAGATTGGATCAAACTTCCAAAATAGGTAAAGTTTGAGCAGAGGGTCTTTTCAGAGTCAATGTGCTCCTTCGGTGCTCATTGTAATGACGACCATTTACTGTCTGTTTACAGAATGAAATTTTACCTCCAGTTCAGAAACTATGGTTGGAATTCGGTAGCTTTGTTTGTGTTTTAGAACCTAGTGAGTAGTGTATATTTAGTCTACAAAATCACGTCCAAGTCTAGAAACAGTGTACTTTTAACAATTAAGCCATTCACCAGATCTAGTTGATGTTAGAAGATAAGTGAGGATAATAGTTTAGACATTTTGTCAATCAAACGAGTTCCAATGTGATCAAAACAAGCCTCTTTTCGTCATTCCTTATAGTCTGAAACAATCAAATATCGGGACCAGACATATGAAATCTCATCAGCTTCCAAATCAGACGCATCGGAACTTTACAACATTTTGTCGGTAATCCAGTATATTTTAAAAAACCACTAAAACATCGATGCCAATGATGTCCCTCTTGATCCCCAAGTAACGGAAAAAAATGGATGATATAAATAACTTACTCGCAAACCACAAGTTATCGGGATAAAAAGACGTTTCCCTATTATCTTGAGACTGGTAACATTAAATATATCGATCGACATTTCAATTGCCTTATAATTTAGTTTTCCGACATTTTTTGATGGCCATGGGACAGGATCTTCATGGCTGAAGTAGTTTAATGATCCAGATAGAAATTGGTTGTCTTCAACGCTAATAAATTCACTTCTCAAAGTGTTCCTTTTTACGTCCATTCCGGACCACAAATTCGAGTTGATTTGATTCTGATCATCAGCAGTATAAATCCAAACAAATGACTGACTTATTTCAGGGGAACAAGGACTCATATTGACAGGAATATATTTGAAATCTATCCAAATATCTACATAACAAGGTTTGGAAATATATATCGAACATCTCACATTTCACGTTACAAAGGATTATTATTGGTGCGAGAAAGAGAAAAATTACGGTGATTGCATAGAAAACAAATGACTTTGACCATATAAATGCCTTGAAAACCTTTTCTTCAGGATAGTGGAAAATCTCAGTCATCGCGATCTTGAGCGCGTGGTTAGCGATCTCTTTAAATATTTTCGTATGGTTTTGTACGAAATAGGGAAAGATTTCGCTTAAAGGGCTTCAATGTTTGGTAGCAATAAACCTTCTATGCTTCCAGGTAGGCATCTAGGTATATAAACGGTAAAAGAGAACAAATTAATAAATTATGGCAACGTAGTTATTCTCCCAACCTTGGAGTCTTGTTGAACCCTCCTGAAACCCCAACTTACCCTGTTGGTTAAGCACTTCTACTCAGTTTCAAATCATCAGTGAAGAGCAACAAATCTGACGATACCTTCTATGGAAGATAGTCTATATAGATCAAGGAAAGAATAGGTTATAGTACTGAACCCTGAGGGATCCTGCTAAAACATTACATTGCCTGAGGGGAATCGAAGTTAATCCTCGATTATTTTGGTAGGAAGCAAATGTGATTTGATACCTCTAAGTTTGAGCTTACTGATAATATTTGTGTAGCTTCCCATACTAGAAGCCTTTGAGAATTCAAGGTATACGACGTTAACCTTTCCCCTACGATCAAGGATGTTTTTCCATCTGTCCACTGCGGTCACTAGGTGGGCCACATGAAAGTGACCTTATGTGAGACTGTGCTGTTAGGGTGAAAAGAGATTTACAGGTAGTAATTAGTCACGTAGACCATCACACTTCAGTTACCCTACAGTTTTTGATGGCATTGAGAGTTCTGTTGGTCGGTAGCCCGAAGATTCACTGCATCAACCTCCTTCGAAAGTTGGTGTAGTGTGAGTCAGCTAATTGAGCTACAGGACAAATGTCTTTGAACCAAAAGTTATACATGATGTAGATTACGTACATGAGAGAACGTAAAACGATGAATTAGAACCAGAGAATCGAGAGGTTTATCCTCACTATCAAGTTAATAGTGCAAAAGTAAAGATAACTTCATCAAAATTTACAAAATCATTCTTTACAAAAAAGCACATAATTTCTCCATGAGACTATATTCAAATAATGTATAAACTATAAATGCATGACATCACTGTCAATATTCAGAAATACCAAATCGGAACTAGCTCCTTAGATTTCCGAGGACACACTATTGATGCACGAGGCATCCGACCTTTTAGAAGCAAAGGGGTGGCCATTCTAGATTACCCAGAACCGACCACTATTAAGCAATTGATCACATTTAACGGTCTTGTAAGTTTCTATAGGCGGTTCGTACCAAAATGCAAGTCCCTTATGAAACTGCCAACTGATTAACTTCGTGGAAATCCGAAAACCATTAATCTGGACGACACCATGCCGGAAGCATTCTCCACAATTATGGAACTAATCGAGAAAAGCGACCGTGCTAAGACATCAGGACATTCAAGAGCTCATTAATATCGCAGTAGACGCATCCGACTCAGCTATCAGAGGAGTCTGACAACAATGAGTTAACCACACTTGGAAATCTTTGGCATTTTTCTCAAGACGGTTGCTAGATATTGAATCTACGTACAGCACTTTCGGTAGGGAGCTCTTGCTATGTATTGTGTTGTATGACATTTTCAAGACTCTAACGAAGGCCGACAATTCACCCTTTTTTGCTGATCATGAGCCCCTTACTTTCTCTTTAAGCTAATCTTCAGACAAGTACTCACTTCATGAGTCTCGATAACAGACTACGTTTCTCAATTTACTCCAGACAAACAACACATTTATGGAGACGCTTTGTCTCGTATAACCTCCTTGAAGTTTCCAAGGAATAGACCTTTTTAAACTCACCCAGCTTCAAAATAAAGGCGCTGACCTCCGGTTTCAGTAATCCTAAACAGCTCTTAAGCTGCTCACTAAGCAGATGAGAACAGGTAAGGAAACCAAACAATGTCACCCATCTACACGTAGGGACCGCGCAGTCGTACTGAAACATTATTGACGCTGACATTGGATACACTGCAGCTCAACTCGTTTATGGAATGACACTCCAACTTCTAGGAGAATCCGTGGATCCTTCATCTTCAATAAACATGGATCTAAACTCCCACACGAGCAGGCTTGCAAACGCAATGGTTCAGTTAAACACGTTTCCACTCGACTTCAATCAAGTGATGTTTTGTTCAACCTGACTTACGATTTAGTAAACATATCTTCGCACGTTGAGGCTCACATCGGTGATATCATTACACAGTATACGAAGGACCCTTCAAAGTTCTTCAGCGCAAACCTAAGTACTATATGATCGCTAAGAAAGGAACTATCGATAGCATCAGCATCGACCGCATTACAGCTGCGTATTTAGAAGGAAATCCTATCCACGTCGATTATCCTTCGGTATAATCGAACGACACGGCTCCTTCACTCACAATATTTAATCTGACAGCTAACACGCATGTTGATACTTTGGTAGTATTTGATAATAAACTTGGAACACGTTCTGGAAGAGGAGTAAGATTTCCAGAGCATTTAAATGACTATTACACGTAAGACGCCAGATGACATTTTTCATTATCTCGATTTTTTTTTGCATTATATAGAATAAAAAAAGTTTATTATGCTTATACTTATATACTTATTCCAAATAAAAGAGCAAAATTTTTTTGCTAATATGAGTATATTTAATTTTTTCTTTAAAAGAAAACCGAAAACATTTTACAAATCGCCTTTACGCTGTCGCAGGTATATTAGTTTATTTACCTTTTTCCTCCTACTTTGTGTCTTCACGCGCGTACGAGTGTATTCCAACATGCACTTACATATGCTTTATTTTTTGTCCAAGATGGCTGGGAACGCCATATTCAACTTCCGCGATCACTAGCCATTTTCGATCAGTCACTTCTCGATACCTTGGTAAGCTATCTCACAACCTCCTAGCTTCTGACTTTTGATTTCACTGGGTCGGTGTGATTCAATTATAGGTGTGACTGGTAATGTGTTGTCAAACTACAATATTTGTTACATCCTCACACCAATATGGGTACTCTGAAAGTATATTAGCCTAGACCATTATTATTTGTTTTGAGCATACTTAGTTTTGGTACCCAATCGTGTAAGATTCTGTGTGAATTAAATAAATTGGCAATACTTATAGTATGCTCTCGATCAATGATGCGTTTATAGCACTTGACAAAGGAGTCCTACTAATAACATTGTAACCAGTGTCTCTTAAAACTCAAAGTTCATCGTCCATTTGTGAAGTAATTCTAAAATTGTGATTTAAATTACCCAGAATATCTAAATCTTTGAAATGTTTGCCAATCGAAGCGAAATGTTTTTTTTACTTGTTTTGATCGACTACTAAACGGTCGCTAACCACGCGCTCAAGAGCGCGATGACTGAGATTTTCCACTATCCTGAAGAAAAGGTTTTCAAGGCATTTATATGGTCAAAGTCATTTGTTTTCTATGCAATCACCGTAATTTTTCTCTTTCTCGCACCAATAATAATCCTTTGTAACGTGAAATGTGAGATGTTCGATATATATTTCCAAACCTTGTTATGTAGATATTTGGATAGATTTCAAATATATTCCTGTCAATATGGGTCCTTGTTCCCCTGAAATAAGTCAGTCATTTGTTTGGATTTATACTGCTGATGATCAGAATCAAATCAACTCGAATTTGTGGTCCGGAATGGACGTAAAAAGGAACACTTTGAGAAGTGAATTTATTAGCGTTGAAGACAACCAATTTCTATCTGGATCATTAAACTACTTCAGCCATGAAGATCCTGTCCCATGGCCATCAAAAAATGTCGGAAAACTAAATTATAAGGCAATTGAAATGTCGATCGATATATTTAATGTTACCAGTCTCAAGATAATAGGGAAACGTCTTTTTATCCCGATAACTTGTGGTTTGCGAGTAAGTTATTTATATCATCCATTTTTTTCCGTTACTTGGGGATCAAGAGGGACATCATTGGCATCGATGTTTTAGTGGTTTTTTAAAATATACTGGATTACCGACAAAATGTTGTAAAGTTCCAATGTGTCTGTTTTGTAACCTGAAACCTAGGCAGCTGCCTAGTTTCATATAATCTTTTCTGTACAGTTTACATCTTCTTGGTGTTTTCATTTGATATGAATGCCCTACACATGGAAGCTTAGTTAATTAGAAGGTTTCTGGTTTTATTATATTTATGAATGTCTGCTCATACGACTGGAAAACACAAATCAATAGAGTATCTAATGCTTGTTTTATGCAGTCAAGTGCTGTATTGAAATCTTAGAAAGGATCACATTTTTCCACCTGAAAACCAACTTAGGAAAACACGTTTATTTAGTGTTATATGTACCAATCAATTGGTGTTAGCGCCTTTTGATCTAAATTATAAAGGACTTCAAATGGTAAATCAGGTATAAAATAACATGTTTTGGGTTTTGGCACGAAATTCACCCATCCACTTGGCTAAATAAAGTTTTGGCATTTTAGATGATGTCAGTTCGTGATGAAAATCACAAATCTAATTCCTAACGTTAACCATGAACTATAAATCCTAAGTTTATTTCTTCACATTTCTTTATAACCCTCACATAGTTCTAGTTAGTAGGTGGAAATACTCACGGTCAGTTCAGCGTCACTCAAACGTCGTTTATAAATTATAGTCTCACCTAGAAATCAAACAGGAGGATAAATCGAGATATCATTGTGTGCCAGTACAAGGTGCCCCATAAAGAAATAAGCAGGATTGAGAAAAATAAACTCAATAACACTGTTCAATCAGTCCAAGACATTATCAGTCTATCTATATGTAAAATGATCAAAGTCATAACTTATAGAAAAGCTGGTTTCTCAAATTCCTATAAAAATATAAGCTTATAACGCGTAACCACGGAGATTTTAACCACTGGATCTTGACTCCACCCATTTCTATTCGACTAGGTGGGTAATGAAATGAAACCTTTCACACAAACTAATATTTGACTCGTTACAATTTTCCCATTATACTACTATTCATGTATCCTAGCTATGTCTTTTGGGAAATTATATAAACAAAATCGATGAAGAGTAAAAGTTCAACAGAGTTTAGTATGAAACTAAAAACACCTAAACTACAACGTATTATTAGAATTTCCATGACAAATTTTATCATTTTTTCTTTTTTGAAAAAAAACACATTAGCAAAACAATAATGAGTTCTCACTGAACGTGACTGGATTAATATGGAGTGAATTCATTTCCCAAACGTCAATAACTGATTTATTTATTCATAGTGAATTAACAATAAAACAAACACAATCGATTAAATTACACGGAATGGATCCAATTGAAAAGGAGTACTACATGGTAAGTGAATGACGCACAAAAACTAGAGTTACAGAAAAGTGACCAACAGTAGTCTGCGAATTGGCGATGATTTAAATTTCGTTGTTCAGGAAGATACTGAAAGCTTCACGACTAAGTCATCTAGCTCAGAGAACACAACAAAATCCCTAACTGAAAGCACAATATGACGAAAACTACTCCTAGTCATCTTACTGAATATGTTAGGGGATTTTCTTATTTATTTAAACACAAATATTGGTACAAGGAAGCACCAGATAAATATGCGCCTCACAAATTTCATTCGATTTGTGTGACGGCTGTGATACTGCCCAGGTGCCCAGACTGAAGCAAGTGGTTTTCTTAGGGGGCCACACTCCGAACCTTTGACCTGAAGGTCTAGTCCACAAGGCACTGGAGCATCGTGAGGAGATGCAGTCTCATGGTGGCCGGTAATCAGTGATTGATTCGTACGCCATTTGTTCCCTCAGGATACTGGAGCCCATGTGCACCGTTGGTTTGAATCCAGGGTTTTCCAACTCCTCTAGATGGACACTCCACATCCACCAACCCGGTTAAAGCGCCAGACATTCGCTTTTCGTCCTTCCAGTTTCATAAACAACACCCCCGCCACGAGAAGGCAGCGAGTAGGACTTCCCTGGCAGAGGCTATATATTCGCTGGTCATGTAAGAGCATTTCGAGAGGGAGAGCGGACTCTCCCCACTCTCTGTCGTACCAGGGCATTTGGGGATTAAAATCCCATTTACTTATGGGAAATAGTCAAGGTAGTATAACTTATCAGAGTAAGAAGAAACAGGGTCACAAAGCGATTGCTTTGTCTATATCCGTTACATCACATTTGATCTCAGTACACTCACTATTCATGTATGGCTTCTTTGTTTCTATTGCAAAGGAAACTGGACAGAATTTCAAACGAAATGGATTCCCTTTTATTTTAGTTCAAGGTAATAACGATAACTGTAAGAAGTATGTGGGTGGTTGTCACTTCCCGGCTACCCACACAACGGAAAGACACTTCTCTAGAGACCTCAGAAGAAAACTCGGTTAGGGTTGGTCATGGAGACCATAGAACCCAAGGAACAGCTATTAATAAAAATAACATATTTATAAGAAGCAGCTGCTTAAAGCCAGTCACACAACCATTCTGTGGGAATCTTTTGATGTATTAGCTGCGTACTTCAAAATATCCTACAGCTAGAGGTGGAAATCTGTGGTGCTAAGGTAAGACATGGTATTTTTCGAAGCGACTTTTACTAACCTCCCTCCTCCAAATGTAGTAAGGTAGCGTTGTTGGAAACTTTGGTTCTCTTAGGGAAACACTTTACTGTCAAAGTGTCTATTTTGGATTTTCCCCTCTGACTATGGATTGGTTTTCGGTCTTACTGATTTCTAGTTACGAAACTAAGTTATGAAGTATATTAACGACAGATATACATAATTCTTTTCGCAATCCAGACAAGGATATGTATGCAGAAAGAGAGACTTTAAAGCGTATAATGAGCTTCTCAAAATACAGTGCCTCGCTCGACCTTGAGATAGCAAGCGAGCCTAGACACATGACATGTTTTTAGTCACTCAGTCTACCAGTTAGAACCATGCATGGACTACTGCATTTTTACTCATTTCAAGGGTGATATTTTCACGTCGAGGCCTAAAGGCTACTTGATTGGGGTCCGCGTGACTATCGTAACCATTGGTTGGAGACTCTAGGTGTCATGGCTCGGAATCGATCACAATGTGTATACACTCTTTGTTTTCCCTTGAACCTTGAGATTGAAATTGCTTCATAACTTTCTTCCTTCCCATACTATATCCTTATATACAACCTATCTTTTATATACTACTACCACTAAATTAACTATTTCTATGAATCCTGTGTTCATCTTGTTGTGCTAACGAGGTATGGCAACTTGAACCGATGGATATATGTGCCTGGTCCTACGTTGTAGCTGACTGACTGACTGAAAGGCTTCAGATATACATAGTGGTGAAAAGGGTTATAAGACAAAACAACAACAACAACCGTGATTTTCAAACGTTTTTTTTTTAGTTGTTGTCCATTTGTAACGAGAATTATCGTCGAATAAGGTTTGGAAGTATTACATAGTTTGTATTTGTTGTTTTATCATTAATGCATATGTATACATATATTGGATTTTTTTTCCAATTTATAGAGACCTGTAATGAATATGAACACTGTCCGTTATAATTCGATCATTTCTAACTTAAACAATGCATTGTATGATGTGATGGATAGAAATTGTAAGTTTTATTTTCTACAAAATAAACTTCGATATTTTTTTGTAACTATACAAGAGTTTATACATAAAACTTGTTTTTTTAGTATACTACTTTTGAATTAAATCACATTAGGTCTGATCAATATCGAGTATTGTTTGTTATTTTTTAAAATTTTTATTTAAACACAAATATTGATACAAGGAAGCACCAGATACATATGCGCCACACAAATCTCATTCGATTCGTGTGAGGGGCTTTGATACTGCCCAGGTGCTCAAACTGAAGCAGGTGGTTTTCTTAGGGGGCCACACCCCGAGCCTTTGACGTAAAGGTCTGGTCCACAAGGCAGTGGAGCATCGTGAGGAGATGCAGTCTCATGGTAGCCGGTGACCAACGATTGATTCATACTTCATTTGTTCCTTTAGGATACTGGAGCCCATGTGCATCATTGGTTTGGAATGAGGGTTTTCCAATTCCCCTAGGTGAACTTTCCGTGTTCACCAAACCGGTTAAAGCGCCGGACATCCGCTTTTCGTCCTCTCAATTTTGTAAATAACACCCCCGCCACGAGAAGGCAGTGAGTAGGACTTTGTTATAGAAAGCTTTGAATAGTTTTATAACAATCTCTGTTTAATTTAGCAAACGTTAGTTGATAAATAAGTTCTAGAAACCATAAGTCATGCTGTTTATACTATTGCTTCTTAATGATGAGTAAACCTCAAACTCAGGAATTACCTACATCACTTCAAATGTGAAGAAATTTGTTAGTCACATTAGGTTATTGAATAGAGGAGATCGTTATTTTACTTGGCATTGGGTGCACTATGTTTACAGGTTAGGTGATTAGAGGTAGTCGGAAAGAAAATGTGAGCTTAGTTTTTATGCTAGTCAGCATTCGTCAGCGAGTTTTGCAAGTAATATCGGCAGAACTGATGTTCCCTGGTGGACCCGGACCCAGGTTAGCCAGCTTTATATTCTGAGATATTATTATTGGAGCGTTCGAACTACTATTGACCTCCTATAAGACAAATATTCAAAATATGCAGGTTCCCCTGTCAACTACCACGAACCATACAACAACTCTAAAATGTATAATTGAAACTGGAAGATCAGAAAGATTTCGTTCAAGTACTTAAAGACATATGACAAGCTTAAGGAAACTTAAACGACCATCAATTTATGTAGATTCATTACAATAACTAGGAAAAGATAATTTACATACGGAATGAAATGGTTTCAGATTTTTTAAAAGCATAAATTAATAATATTAGTGTTGTCATAGTGTGGCAGAGGAGGAGAGGAAACGAGAAAATCGTGCAAACGAATGTAACTAAAAGAATGAAGGGGAGTTTAACATTCTTTTTTCGAATTGTCAGGTATTCCTTTTTCCTACCGCCATAATCCACTTTCGATATGTCTACAAAAAGAACGAACACATAAAACGAGGGGAAGAGGGAATAAGAATAATGAGAAACATAATGACAGTCAAAATATTTTCTGCCAAAAATTTGACCAGTAATAGAAAACTTATTAAATTGATGTTTATTGAGCTCTATTCATCGCAAATAAATCTCAGTTGAGATATTATTGAAAACCAAGAAGCACTAGAAAGCTGTTTAGTTCTGGTGTGAGGCTCCCCACCAATATGCACTCACAATATGCACTCCACACTAGAGATTGAACTCATGAACTTCAGGTCTCGCGGAGAACACTTAAACCGTTGGAACCACTGGGATAATCTTCCTATCGAATTTCGGGATGTGATCAAATAAGTATTCACTATTTGAAATCAATAATCACGACCTAGATTTCGTGATGGTTAGCATTTTTCAGCGAGAAGTATCTGCAATCGCAAGGAAACGGATGCTTTCTATGGGAACTGAATGTGCGTCAATCTATGTCTAAGTTAAAAACGCTATTATTGGAACATTTACATCGCGCTTTGTGTCTGGATACGACTGAGATGACGATAACTTATTTAATCAAAGAAGAATAATCAATAACATACGCCTGTTTAGATGTGAGTGATAATCGAATGTGATTGGACAGGTTACAACATGGATTCTGATATAAATGGCTAGAAAGCATGTACAATTTCGATACATCTAGCTAACAAATCCCAACTAATATAAAGCCTAGGTTCATCAATTCCTGTCAGCTGCTTACAATTATATGACTCATCAAAATGTCTCATGATGTCGATCCAGTTAAACTAGAGACCGCGCATTAAAACGAGATCGATGGAATCTTTTGAGTGCTAAGGATTAGAGCGGCATAAGATTAAGTTTTGTTACTTGGTGACAGCGAAATGTATTTCAAGTAAAAAACCACTTGTCACTTTGTTAGGCATATGCTTACGCTCAGAATAACTATGCCGAGTCTGAGTACAGTTCTGTAACGGTAATACATGAAGCGTTTTCACATGAAAACAAAAAATTAAGAGATCGGGTAAAAGAGGAACATTTTCATGTGAATATCAATACATGGTTGAAGAGAAAAATCATACATTACTTCAAATGATAATCATGGACTGATATCCTAATTGGGTTAAATCATTCATACGTTTTTTCTCCAATACAGGTCTAAGTAGATAGTGAAATGGCTTACCTACCCCCATCTTTATCTGGAATGTAGGCTTAGCTACATAATAACAGAGTCTAGAAGTCCCATCATGCTTGGACAGGGTTTCGATAAATATTGTAACATAAATTCTTCTCTTGTGAATAACAGCCATGTAACACTGGAGTGGTATACAGACCGAAATCATTGCAGTCTACCATCGAGCCAACAAAACTGTCACATATTTCCACTTTCAGTTAGTATATACCAAACAAAATCACAGTTGACATTCAGTATTATCCACACTGAAGTTTTGTGAACATCCCGAGTAAAACAATTAAACTAAAAGCATCAACTAAGTATCACTGTAGATAGGATGTTGATTATATAATGTACACCTGGTCAAGAAGTTAACCCCTATCGACACATGAACTAATGATAGGGAGTGAAGTAGTTGAGCGTGTTGACTGCTTCACTTATCTTGGAAGTCTCATCAGCCCTTGTGGTCTGGTGTGTGACGAAATCTCAGCACGGATACAAAAGGCTCGTCTAGATTTCGCCAACTTGCGTCATTTATGGCGTAGGAGAGATGTCCGTCTAGCAACCAAAGGACGGGTTTACTGCGCAGCAGTTCGTTCCATTCTACTTTATGGCAGCGAAACATGGCCGATAAGAGAAGAGGGTATTCGTAGGCTACTAGTATTCGATCATAGGTGTCTTAGAAGTATTGCTCGTATATCCTGGGACCACCGGGCAAGTAATGCAGATATTAGGAAACAGGTACTAGGTAAAGATAGCAAATCGATTGATGAAGTAGTGAAACTTCATCAGTTGAGATGGCTGGGACACGTGTTACGTATGACCAACCACTGACTGCCCCGATGTGCAATACTTTATGGTGTAGGGGCAGGTTGGAAGAAAGCTAGGGGTGGCCAGACCAAAACGTGGCACAAATCCATGAAGTCGTTGACAAGTGGACTGAGTCATGTTGGTAGGTGTAGACTACCTGGTTGAGATCCGCGAGATGATAGCAACCGATTGTTAGAGACCTTGAATGACATGGCTCAAAATCGTTTGCAATGGCGAAGGTGCATCCACCCTTTGTGTTCTGCTAAATTCTAATCTTCTGAACTCTTCATGTCCCGTTCTCTTTTCTCTCTCCAAATTTATTTCACTGTATTATAATCCTTGAATGACATCCTCAAACCCTAATCGTTCACATAATGCTTATACTCTTACTACTTCTACCACTATGAGATTTGAATCGACAACTGATTCTCTGTGTTAATGTGGTATGGCAACTCGAACTGATGTACGTACGTACGAAGTTCTACGTTGTGACTGACTGAGTTAACCCCTATATCATGTACTTGGATATGAGCTGAACTCTAATTATAAAGGCTAATGACAATACTCAGTTACTCAGGTTGAAGTAGGATTATAACTTGGGACTTAGTGAAAGCTGAACGAACACCTTAACTATTAAGACACTACTCCATATAATTCAGTATACAGTATAGTTTATTCCCTTTTCATGCTTATTTATAGTGACCATTCATCTTGGAAAAACACAATATTTTATGTCAACTAGCGAAGCGGATGCCCAATCATCAGAATCATTTCATATTACATTGGTAATAAATCTTCCAGAGCAAGAATTATTGTATCCTTTTATTATTTTCATCATGCATATATGTATTTATATATATTCATTCATTGTGCGGTTATTATTATCATGTAGAGAGTCGTCAAAACAGATAATGTAATCAGTTCACAAAACTATCTTAACTAATGAACATAACTGTATCAGGAGATGAATACTTCATAGTTATTTAGGCATAATTTGAAGATCCTAGATGACAATTCAAAATGATGCAAACGTATAGTTTCCCAGTAAGTGATGCTGAGGTTAGACTCAGAAATAATAAATAGAATGATAAAATTGTGAATCTTTGTCTACTGAGGTGACTAGAACATATGGTACACATCCCCAATAACCCCTCAACGAATAATATTGGTCGTCGTAGGAATGAGTTAGAGAGAACCTAGTGAACTAAAAATAGACATCAATTCCTTAAACCAATAGCTGGTGTTCTGAGCCACATTAATAGATCCAGGCAATCTGATTAAGGTTCGACCGTTTGTCATGATCAGTAGCTGAAAATGTTTGGTGACACGCTAGAAAACGGGTTCAGATGTATCCTCTCCTGATCTTTCCGTAGCTATTAAGTTCTTAGGTTCATTGTTTGCCTTTTATTCTGAATTCATTTTTTATTACCTCCACACGTACATTTTTACTACTATTTATACAGATGCTAATTACACTACTTTAGCATTCCATCTCAATAACTCGATCTCGCTATATCGTTAAGTTTTCTTGTTCGATCAAACAAGCCTACCTATCAACCTTCGTCTCGATTTCCTCTCTATTCAGCTTTATTTATTAGAACACATAAAAATTGATACAAAGGGGGCACCGAATACATATGCGCCACACAAGTCACTTGATTTGTGTGGGCTACGATACTGCCCAGGTGCCCAAACTGAAGCAGGTGGTTTTCTTAGGGGGCCACACCCCGAGCCTTCAACCTAAAAGTCTAATCCACAACGCAGTGAAGCATCGTGAGGAGGTGCACTCTCATGGTAGCCAGTGACCAACAATAGGTTTTTATGCCATTTGTTCCCTCAGGATACTGGAGCCCATGTGTACCATTGGTTTGGCCGAGAACCCAAATTGGTGATTTCCTTCAAAGATCAATCCCAAAGCGATTGAACAGAATTTCTTATCGACAACGCAATGAGGCAAAGTCAGGAGATGGTGTTCCATACTAGACAGTGTTCAAAATAGGTTGGTGTATCACTCGTCCCCAGGGGATCCTTGAGTCGTCCTCGGGAAACCATTGATTTGGAATCAGGATTTGCCACCTACCCTATGTGGACTCTCCTTCTCTACCAACCTGGTTAGTGTCTGACGTTCACGTTTTGCCCTCTTATTTCCGTAAATAACACCTCGGAAGCGGTAAAGTAGTGAGTAGGGTTCCTTTAGTAAGGGCTATAAATTGCATCACCGAACAAGAGAGGACTTTCCTCACTCTCAAACAAACTACGGTATTCAGGGTGGCACATCGCAAATACATGTTTTAAACAACAGTCTATCAGTATGTTTCCTTAATTATACTTTTTCCCCGCACAAAATATGTGAAATCAGATTTGAAACACCATTTATTCATAAATTAAAATGGGCATATATCTTTTATATTGGTATATGGATTATATTTTATTGGCCAATTCAATGGTTACAACGTTGGGTATTTGAAAAACGTCAATTGATGATCTATGATAATTTAGTTGAATTTAAACAACCGCCGGCGCATGTTTATCTAAATCAATTAAAGAATGAGTGGTGATGATGTATGGATGGGCAACTTTCTATGATTATCAAGTTCCCAAGTTGAAGAAAATTGGACATTAGTTTCTAACCATATCAAATTCCATGAAATACATTGATCATATACAATAGAATGTTCAATATCTTTGTACATTGTTCTATGTATGATGTGTACATAAATATTTGACCAATTGACTTTGTTTTGTATATTGATAGTAATCCATCATTCAAGTGCAACTTGGAACCTGACATATATGTACATCATTTCTAATTGTCATATCAACACCAGTACACCAGTATAACTAAATTTACTTTTACTTATTGCATAATGTATGATTTACTTGTAGGTTAGTGGATATGCATTATTGAGGAGCCCCATACTGAGATAAAACGATCATTCAGTGCTTTCGAATATTCAATGATTGTCTAACTCTGATCATGATTTCAATGAAATTCAACAATTCCCACAGCCCTGTTACTTTCTTACGCCTGTTACTTCTAATGGAGCATAGGCCACTGACCAGCATTCTCCAACCCACTCTGTCCTGAGCCTTCTTTTCTAGTTCTATCAATTTTTTGTTCATTCTCATGTCTGTCTCCACAACCCTATACTGACAATAAATAATCTCAATGAAATACCTTACCTTTCTTTTACAGTATTACTCTTATTGTCAAAGGATACACAGTCGCTGGATACTCTCAATTATAACGAACTACTAAACATTGTCAGTTTCGTGAGTTCATAACAAGGTCCATCGCAAATATATAAGGCTCATAAAAAGTAACTTTGTTTATCGAACGCGTCGACAACTTTACTTATCTTGGAAGTCTGATCAGCCCTAATGGGTTGGTGTCTGACGAAATCTCAGCACGGATTCAAAAAGTCCGTTTAACTTTTGCCAACTAACGTCACTTATGGCGAAGACAAGATATCCGTCTATCAATTAAGGGACGAGTATACTGCGCAGCAGTTCGCTCGATTCTACCTTACGACTACGAAACGTGGCCATTAAGAGTAGAAGATACTCGTAAGTTACTAGTATTTGACCACAGATGCCTTAGAGATATTGCTCGCATCTGCTGGGATCACGGGATAAGTAATAGTGAGGTTAGACACAGGGTATTAGGGGATAATGGCAAATCAGTTGATGAGGTTGTGAACCTTCATCGACTAAGATGGTTTGGCCACGTGTTACGTATGCCTGAACACCGATTGCCACGACGCGCTATGCTGACTAGTATAGGGGATGATTGTAAGAGAGTTAGGGGCGGCCAAACCAAAACGTAGCATCAGTGCTTGAAGTCACTAATTTCTAGTCTGAGCCATGTTGGTAGATGCAGACTACTTGGTTGGGGTCCGCGTGACTATCGTAACCAATGGTTGGAGACTCTAAGTGACATGGCTTAGAATCGATCACAATGGCGTAGGTGTATACACTCTTTATCTTCCCTTAAACCTTGAGATTAAAATTACTTCATAACTTTCTTCCTTCCTATACTATATCTTAATATACAACCTATCTTTTCTATATAACCACCATTAAATTAACTACTTCTATGAATTCGGTGTTCATCTTGTTGTGCTAACGAGGTATGGCAACTTGAACCGATGCATATATGTGCCTGTTCCTACGTTGTAACTGACTGAATTTTGTTTATTTAATATAGATAGAAGTGATAGTAGAATCACCAAATATGTAATGCTATATAGATTATTTTCTAGAAATGGCAAACTTACACAATAATTCATTATTTAAGTGATCCGTACCTGTGCTACATATTTCTTGCCACAACTGATTTTCCCCATAGCTCAATGTTATCTACATTCGGAGTAAGTCAGCCAATTAGTCAGTTATATCTAACACAGAACCTGGTCTATGTGTACACATCAGTTAAGTTACCACATCTCAGAGTAGTAGAAGTGATTAGAAGGAATTAATGTGCGGTAAAAATGAAGAGATGGAACCAGTTTATGAAATCATAGGGACTATTAGACTAAATCACACGGGTTACATACAAACTTTCAGTTGGAGGAATACTTGCAAGCTAATTCTAATCTATACCTGAAGATATTATGAAGTAACATTACCGTTAAAGAAAATAATCTCAATGACATACAGTTGAATCCTCACTTGTTGGCTTTTTCAAAATCCTTCAGTTGATTGTATCTGTCCCATTTATTGTTATTATGATAATAATAATAATGAGTCCCCCAACAGGACGAAACGGCCGTACAGTGCTTTCAAGTTTTCCATGGTGGTCTAGCTTCAATTGACTCACGCTTTCAACTATGAAAACACTAAATCTCCACAAAAACCCCTTCTGATAATCATAACAATATGCTCACTAGTGACTGACATCGAGAGGTAAATCCTGGAATTCTAGTGAGAAGCAGTGACCAGTGGAGTTCAACCTGGTCTGTTGTGAGATATCAACTCACTGAAGACAATTGGTGAACGGTTGCTCAAACTTCGTGGATTGGTTGGAGTTAGACATAAACACCATCGGATGCCAGCTCAGAGGTGTGCTCTGGCGCGAGAATGATAGATCCTGTGTCCGAATCTCGCGAGGCGAGGTCATGGATACGCATTGCCACTGAGGAGTCCCATAATAGGACGAAACGGCCGTCCATTGCTTCCAGGTTTTTCATGGTGGTCTAGCTTCAATTGACTTATGATTTCAACTATGAAAATAATAAAAAAGTTACCGGTTCTTACTTCTTCTCTTCGCTCTATTCAGCTTTTTATCTAACACATTTTAATTACTGATTGTACTGACATCAATGTTTATTTGCTTGATTGTAGAATTGGCTTTTATTATACACTTTGTTTGATTGTTTAGATGTTGAAGATTTTTGTGTTGAACCATTTGATTGTTTCTTCTTCTTTGACAATGTTGTTTTTGTAGTCGACTTGATGGTAGAAGTTTTTCCTTCGGTATGATTTAATAAATGTGATAGACCAGCTGAATGTATTCCTTGTATTAATTGTTCACGTGCAAATTTTAATTCTGTTGATAACTGTTCTATTTCAGGTGCATTTAATAAAGCTGGAATCAGTGTAGAACGAAGCCAACGTGGACTATTGTCCCCAACCCCGACCATACCCCCGAGATAAAGAAAGAAAACAATAAAAAAATTTAACTTTTGTATGAAATGGTTACTTTATATAATGTTATGATTGCTTAGTCCTTAGCTTTGATAAAATTCTATTGATTAAGTTGATTATATAATCAACAGACTATACTTACTGTACATTGTCAAATACCTAACTTGATGGTAAAAAGTTAGAGGTATTCGATAAGAAGTACTGGTTATTCAAAGACAAGAAGTATTTCCAAACCTCAGGAGTATTGCTACTATTTTTAGGGTTTGAACCCACATCATCCATAGACCTTACTATTGGACTATTTGATCCGTAAAATTTTATTTATTTATTTAAGCACATAAATATTGGTACAAGGAAGCATCAGATACATATACGCCGCACATATCTCATTTGATTTTTGTGAGGGCTGTGATACTGCCCAGGTGCCCAAGCTCAAGCAGGTGGTTTTATTAGGGGGCACAACCCGGAGCGTTCGACCTAAAGGTCTGATCCACAAGGCAGTGGAGCATCGTGAGGAGATGTAGTCCCATGATAGCCGGTGACCAACAATTGGTTCATACGCCGTTTGTTCTCTCAGGATACTGGAGCTCATGTGTACCAATGGTTTGGAATCAGGGTTTTCCAAGTTCCCTAGGTAGACTTTCCGTGTTCACCAAACCGGTTAAAGCGCCAGACATTCGCTGTTCATCCTTTCAATTTCGTAAACACCTGTGGTACGAGAAGGCAGTGAGTAGGACTTCCGTGTCAGAGGCTATATAAGCAAGGCCATATGAGAGCATTTGGTGAGGGAGAGCAGACTCTCCCCACTCTCTGCCGTACCAGGGCATTTGGGGGCTAGACCTAACTAAATTATATCAATATTCATATTCCTTTTGTCATAAGATTTCATTTGATCTATAAGCTACTGTCATCTGATCCACTATTCTTAATTTATTCCCAGTTTATTACTTACAATCTCCCATACTCACAGCCAGTTTTGGCTTGATCTTATAGAATTATTTTTTCATTTTATTAGTATAGGGTTGTGAAGATTGTTAATTTTTGATTAAGATCATGAACCGATAAATATTAGACCACTATTAAAAACTTGGAAGCACTGGACGGCTGTTTCGTCCTAGCACAGGGACTTCTCGGTAGTACCCATCCACGATCCCGCACGCGGGATTCGGAACCATGACCTTCGGTCTCAGTTTATGGTGTGATACGATCTGGTATGTTTGTATGTAAAATAAGTATGTCTGAAATATACGATTCATACAGTAGAGGCTGATATATATGTTCTGGACTGAACGGGCTGGACCAGGTGGGGACTCACGATATTAAGGACCAATAAGGATTCAGAGTTGACTCAAGGTCATAGAAGTCGATAATCTGGTTGACGATTTTGTTATTTGATAATTGACAGGGGCGAAAGTCATAACACAGTCTTTGTAGATAATGTGTAGGTCGCAATTGATAAAGTAAACCTCTACTTTACAAGTGTGCGTTACATTCTTGTGTAGCGCAATTCTTAGTGCCATTATACTAAGCTTCTTATGTGAGTTAAAACCAAATGTTTCTACATTCATCATAGTATGTACACGTAGGTGATAGAAATTCATGTATAAGATTTACCTCTGCAACCATATTATTCAAAGGAATACCCATCTATTGTGAATAGTAGATGTCTAGTCTAATTGGAAAGTCTCATGACCGTTTGGGGAGCCTCCAGAAGGCGCGACGAAGGCTCTAGAGGCTTTATCGGGGCCGAAGAGATCCCATTCAATAACAGTCCGGTGGTTTTATTTATTTATCGTTTATTTGAACACATAAACCTTGGTAAAAGTGAGCACCAAATACATATGCGCCACACAATAACAATGAGGTCAGTAGCAGTTACCATTGATTTGTGTAAGGGCTGTGATATAGCCCATGTGCCCAGACTGAAGCAGGTGGCTTTCTTAGGAAGAGATACCCCGAGCCTTTGACCTGAAGGAATAATTCACAAGGCATTGAAGCAACGTAGGGAGATGCAGTCTCATGGTAGCCGGTGACCAACAATTGGTTAATAGGCCATTTGTTCCCTCAGGATACTGGTGTTATATCCCCTGGTGAATTATGAATGGTAACTCTAAGGACTATTTATCGACCAATATATTATGCCTATTTCCTATTGTACAATTGTTACGTAACTAAACTGTTCATATTCGTGTTTCTCTTATCATGAGCTTTATTTTGATCTTTGATTTATTATCATACGATTCTTGAGTTATAATCAGTTTATTGATTACTTTGGTTTGTATAAAAACCCAGTATGTTTGTAAATAATGATTCATATTGCCGAGGCTGTTATTTGTGTTCTGGACTTAACGGTTGGGCTAGGCAGATAGGAAGAACCGGATTGCATCCAAGACTGCTCGTACGTATTCCCTGTATTATTGGACGTATATATATATATATATATATATATATATATATATATATATATATATATATATATATATATATATATATATATATATATAAAGAGGTGCGAATTCATACGTTATAACAACTGGAACCCATGTGCACCATTGGTTTGGAATCAAGGTTTTCCAACTCCCCTAGGTGAACTCTCCGTGTCTACTAACCCGCTTAAAGCACCGGACATTCACTTTTCGTCCTCTCAATTTCGTAAAAAACAGTAATGCCGAGAGAAAGCAGTGGCTGTGCACGTGTGGCCATGTGAGAGCATTTGGAGAGGGGGAGTTGATTCACCCCACCCTCCGCGGTACCAGGGCATTTGCGAGTATTCTGGAATATCGAAGAGAGGATTAGGGATAACGAACCCTTGAAATATCACAATTCATCTTACTCCATGGATCTATATATTCGATCATAAGGTCTTAAAAGTCAGAGCTAACACATCAGGAACTACTCATAAAAAGGGCTGCATAAACAAACTTAAGCATTGCTGTTCAAACACTTTGGTCACAACCCCATGTTGTCAAGTCAGGTACCTCGAGAAGGAGACAGCATCACTGTAGACACTGGTTGTCTGAGAAAACTGCATTAATGCCATCAAACCTCAGTATAGTTAGCTATACGATTTCACCATCAGATATTAGGCAGCTTTTTCTAGTATTATTACTTTCCAATCGACCAGACTGGAATAGTAGGATCCATAGGAACAAGTATTCTAGTTAATATAGCTCAATTAAATCTCAACAATAGTCAAACCAGACCACAACTTCAATGTGGCAGCTATAATCCAACTAAACTGAAGTAGATAAGGTGTGGTTAGAGTCTGTAACCTTATAGTTGAAAGTCGAGTTTCGATTTGATTAAAATGAGATTCTCTACACAAGCTTGGAAACAAGAACAGTTCTTTACAGAAGGTAAAATAGTTCTCTGTTTTGACTGATCAGTTTGAAAAGTCGTACTACCCAATTAATCAAAGTACGCAGTCAGCAAGACCATTGGAAGCTTTTAGTGTAAAGGATAGAACATAAAATTTGGTTGTAAGAACTTACCGAAACAGATTTGCTTCATTCCATTCGGACGGTAATTTGCATTTAGGAATATCACCGCCTAAATCACCAGCAGTATGTTGTGCCGCAATTTCATTTAGCCAATTTAAAACATCACTCCATCCTGGAGTAGTAGCAGCACCTGGGCAATCAGAGATTTTTTTATCTGTTATGATCACTTTTGTTGCACAACTGTGTTCCTGGAAGAAATTTTTAAAAAATGTTATTTATTGTGATAAGTTACTTCAATGAAGTAATATATAGATACATATCAAAATTTACTCATGATCATCGAGAGCAGTTCGTAAGAAACCTTGAACACAGGCCTCGTGTTAGATGACAATCATCATCAAGGCGCAAGTGAGATATTGAAGGTAATGACCCACTCAGTGGAATTCAAACCCGCTCCATTAAACCTCACCAAAGTTTGAGGGATCAGAAAAACACATGTGGAGCTAGTAGGCTTGAGCACTGTCTGATACTTATCATGATCAATCATTTGTACTTTTGATAAAAAACATGTTCTGTATAAAAATTTTTGATAAATAAGCTTTGATCATAACTAAAATCCAAATAATTTAATTTTCATTAACAAATGATGTGTAATCCGTGTAACGATTGTTTACTATAAGCCCCAAATGCTCTGGTACAGCAGAGAGTGAGGAGGGCCAGCCCTCTCGAAATACTCTCACATGGCCACGCGTATATAGAATCTGCCAGGGAACTCCCAATCACTGCCTTCTCGTACCACAGGTGTTGTTTACGAAATTAAGAGGACGAAAAGAGAATGTCTGGTGCTTTAACTGGGCCGGTGGGCACAGTGAGTCCACCTAGGGGAGTTGGAAAACCCTCATTCCAAACCAATGATGCACATGGGCTCCAGAATCCTAAAGGAACAAATAGCATATGAATCAATCGTTGGTCACCGGCTACTATGGGACTGCATCTCCTCACGATGCTCCACTGCCTTGTGGATCAGACCTTTACGTCAAAGGCTCGGGGTGTGGCCCCCTAAGAAAACCACCTGCTTCGGTTTAGGCATCTGGGCAGTATCACAGCCCTCACACAATTAAAATGAAATGACAATTTTTTTGTGTAGCGCATATGCATTTGCTGCCAAAACATTTTAACTGATAATATCTAGTAGAAGTCTAGTACATTTTACAGGATAGGTCCTAACACCCAATTAACATAATCATTGTATTATTTTTATCAGAAAGGGGGTTTTGTGGAGATTCTTGTAATTTTATAGATGAGATCATGAGTCAATTGTAGCTAAACCACCAGGGAAAACTTGGAAGCACTGGACGGCCGTTTCGTCTTATTGTGGGACTCCTCAGTGGCAGTGCGCATCCACGATCCCACCTCTCGAGTTTCGAACCTAGGACCTACCAGTTTCGAGCCAGAGCACTTAACCGATAGACCACTGAGCCAGTCGGTATCCAACGGTGTTAATGTCAAACTTCAACCAATCCACGAAATTTGCGCGACCATCTTCCATTGTACTGAGGTAGATACCTGTCTATACCTAACATGGATTAGCTCCACTGGTCACAACTTCTCACTAGAACTCCAGGAATTACCTCATGGAACCAGTCACTAGTAAGCATATGATCTATCTATCTAATCAAAGAAAAAAAGGTATTCAATCTTACCCTTAATTCAGCTAATCGTCCTTGTGCTATTTCACAATAATCATTCCATCGATTTATACATGATTCAATATAATTATTATAATGATTATTATTCATTATCATATTTGTATATTCTAAATCTAATGACATTATAAATTCATTTTCATTTAATGATTGAATTAATTCAATAGATTTTATTCGACTATCATTAGAATCAATTTTATTACGATGATTTATTGATTTTTTAATAGAATTAAACCAATTAGGTTGTGTATTGATTTGAATTTGTAAAAATTTTAAATTTATTTCCCATGGTAACAATTCAATAAGTAAATTACAAAAATAAAATATAATAGAACGTGATGTAAGTATATTTTGTGTAAATAATAATAAAGGATTACAAAATGTTTCTATCCACCATTGTTTATAATTTATACCAGTTAATCGATAATCTTCTGAACATAATTGACGTGAAATCAATAAAATTCCAATTAATAATTGTTGATCATATTGATTAGATTTTGAATGATGATTCATTTGATTTTGATCAATAAATAAATTATCTAATAAATGTAAATAATTTAAATCAATATGATCATTATTATTATTATTTATATTGGAATTAAATAATAATAATAAAAGTTGATGGATAATAGCTGAAAAAGAAAATAGAACATTTTTTTTTATTAGAGTAACTAGTATAAGATAATGATCATTTATGTTCAAATTAATTTTGATAGTTGAAATCATGAATCAATTGAAGCTAGACCATTATGAAAAACCTGAAAGTATTAGACGGTTGTTTCCTCCTATTGTGGGACTCCTCAATGGCAGTAGGCATCCATGATCCCGTCTCATGAAATTAGAACCCAGGACCCATCAGTCTCGCGCGCGAGCGCTTAACCTCTAGACCATTAAGCCGGTATCCAACAGTGTAAATGTACAACTTTAACCGATCTACGAAATTGAGCGACACATCCACCAATGTCTTCAGTGACTTACTATAGCATAACAGACCTAGTTGAACTCCACTGGTCGCTGCTTCTCACTAGAACTCCAGAAAATATCTCTTGAAGCCAGTCACTAGTGAGTATATGTTGATTACTATCTGAAGGGGTTTTGTGGATATTATAGTAATTTTAATTGTTCAGATCATGAATCAATTGAAGCTAGACCATTATGAAAAACCTGAAAGTATTAGACGGTTGGTTCCTCCTATTGTGGGACTTCTCAGTAGCAAAGGGCATCCACGATCCCACCTCGCTCAATTTGTTTTTATCATATTAGCATGACAGCATCTATTTCCACAAAGATGGATAGCAAAGTACGTGATTCGAACCAAGGACCTATCAATTTCGCGCGATAGCGCTTAACCACTAGAACAGGGTTGGATGGAGAGTGCTGGTAGGCGGCCTATGCTGTTCGATGAGGGGTAACAGACGTAAGTAAGTAATTAAGTAAGCAGTATATATATATATATATATATATGTTTATGTATTTATTTATTTAATCACATATATATTGGTACAAAGGGCACCGGATACATATGCGCCACACAAAATAATGAGAATGGGAAAAGGAAGAAGATGCGTATATATAAAGGAAGGAAAAAAATAAAAGAAGAGTAATGATGGGGGGAACTGAAATGTACAATCAGAAGAGCTCTCTCAGTTAGGAAAGTTAGAACCACTCTTTATGAAGAAAGTAAAAGAGGGTTACAGCAGGCTCGCCACTGGCTTCTATTCTGAGCCATATCTGATAACGTCTCTAGCCACTGTGTTGCACCATCTCTCGGATCCCAACCAGGGAGTCGTGAAGGACCAACAGAAGCTAGCCCTTTGCAGCTTTCTTTCATACCACGACACCATGTCATACACTGACCACCTCGACCACTTCAAACCAGTCCCAGAGTCGGCAAATAATGCACGACGTGGAAGTCTCTGGGACGACATTCGTAAAACATGTCCAAGCCACCGAAGTCGGTGTTTCAAGATGGTGACACCAATTGAATTATCGTCTCGGCGCTCGAGCACACGATGCCGAACCTCTGCATTACTAACATGGTGTTGCCACTGAATGTCAGCAATCCTTCGGAGACAACGATGATCGAACACGGAGAGTCGTCTGACATCCTCAATTTGGAGAGGCCAGGTTTCACAAGCATAGAGCAAAACTGCTCTCACCGACGCGTTGTAGATTCGACCTTTTACAGCCAGACTAACATCACGAAGGCGCCAAAGATGGCCCAGATTGGCATAAGCCTCTCTGGCTTTCATTATACGTGCACCAATCTCATCACTCACGCCACCACCAGCACTTATATAGCTACCTAGATACACGAACTTCTCGACTACTTCAATCTGCTCACCATTCAGGGTGAGTACAGGATGAGAATCCTGCCAGTCTTGTAGGAGTACTTTGCACTTGGAGGGTGCAAAGCACATGTCGTACCTGCGGACACTGATTGCCAACTGATTAAGTGCGGATTGCATGCCTTGGGCATTATCGCACAGTAAGACAATATCATCCGCATACTCAAGGTCGAGAAGTCGTTCTCCAGGTTACAGATCCACACCGCCATTACTTACATCCATCAGAGCTGTTTCCAGGATGTCGTCGATGGCAAAGCTGAAGAGGAATGGTGAGATCGGGCAACCCTGCCTAACCCCGCTGCTCGAATGGAACAAGGGAGAAAGGTGGTTGTATGCCCTCACTCTGCCTGAGGTGTTCGTATACAGGGCCTTTAAGATGTTAATGAACTTCTCAGACACACCCTTCTTCAATAGACAATCCCAGAGAACAGTCCTGTCCAACGAACCGAAGACAGCCCTGATATCAAGAAACACTACGATTGTTGGCCTGCGATAAGTATGACGGTGTTCTAACATTTAGCGGAGGGTGAAAATGTGATCAATGCATCCTCGACCAGAACGAAAACCAGCCTGATCCTCAAGAGTCAATCGTTCTCGGGTTTTAAACAACCTAAGAAGAATGATAGGGGACAGGACAAGCTGGTTGATGTTGCCGGAGCAGCAGGCCAGTTGAACTGCCCTTCGAAAAATTCCGCCCATCGTCCAAGACGTCGAGAGATGTTAATGATTGGCATCCCATCATCCTCGTAGATTGTTTCACTCACACCAGACTTTTTGCTGCCAGTGGCTCGGATGAGTTGGAAGAGCTTCTGGCAGTTACCAGATGCAGCTGCTGCTTCCATCTCATTAGCACGCTCCGACCACCAGGTTTCTCAGTCCTTACGCAAGCTTTGCCCGATTTCATTACGTAACAGCCTTCGTTTGTGGTCAAACTCACGGTCACCCGGAGTAGACCGACGGGCTTCCATCAGTTGTAAGGAGCCAGAAGAAACCCAATGCTTGTAAGCGGGACGTTTCGCGAAGCCGCAAGCGGCTTTACTCGCCATTTTCATGGCGTCGTGAAGAAGCAACCAATGCTCATCTATACTTTTCGGTGGGATGGTAGCTAGCCTAGAAGCTAGCTCCGCTCGATACTTACTTGCAACGAAAGTTGCAGCCAGTTTACTAACATCGATCCGTTGATGGCGGTCAATCCTTCGGCCACTGAAAAGTAAGGTGAGATTTTCGCAGACCAGGGCATGATCAGACTCCAGATAGGTACTCCAAAAGGAGCGGCAGTCTTGTACACAACCACGCTAGCGGTAGCTGATCGCGATGTGATCAATCTGAGTCCAGGCTTGGGATGCAGATGGAGGACGCCAGGTGGCACAACGGCGATGACTGTGCCGGAAGTTAGTGCTGGCCAGAAACAGGTTGTGGTCTGTGCACTGTTGCAGCAAACGGTCCCCGTTATCTGTCCTGCGACCAACAAGTCCCCATCGGCCACCTAAACGACTCTCTTCTGTGCCTAGACGCCCGACCTGTGCATTCAAGTCTCCGGCTAGTACTACTATATCTGTCGAACTCGCTTTCTGGAGAAGAACTGTTAACTGATGGTAAAACTCATCCTTGATTGCATCCGGGGTCCAATCTGTCGGGGCATAGGCGGAGATGACGAAAAGACACCGATTCTCACGCCGATTTCTTCTTACTTTGATGGAACTTTCTAATCTAACAGCACATAACCGACTGTTAATGGGGATCCAATCGATTAGTGTTGTCTTAGCTCTAGCTCTTAGTGCGACACCAACGCCAGCAAGACCAGACGAAGATGCCACAGAGTCCCCGGATAAGCTCACGTGAAACAAGCCTTTCGAGATGACAGATGGAGAGCGGATTTGTAGTACTTCACTAGAGTCTTGAATACGGGTCTCGGATAGACAACAAACGTCAACATTAAGACCTTCCAAAGACATAGCCAGCCCTATCTGTTGTCTGATCTGCATTAGTGTGCAAACGTTGAAGGAAGCAAGCTTGAACGGCGTACGTGATTTCAGAAAGACTGCTTCAGTATTCATAATCGGTGGAAGCATTTACTTTCCACCAGACAGTGACTGGAGATCGTTTAGATAGGACAGATTTTCCACCAAGAACGAGTTGCTGCATAAGTTGAAAAGTAAGGTTACACAAATTGGGGATAAAAGGGGGTGAATTAGCGATATGGTAAATAATAATAATAATAATGCAAATTGATTTGTTTCTAGTAGGAACGAGAATATAATTGTCAGTTGAATGTTCCATTTCATTTATTTGTATGTATTTATATGTATTTGTATGTCAGAAGGGGATTTGTGGAGATTTCAGTATTTTTCAAAGTTGAAATCATGAGTCAGTCAGTCACAACGTAGAACTTCGTACTTACGTACATCAGTTCGAGTTGCCATACCACATTAGCACACAGATGACGTTGTCGATTCAAATCCTATAGTGGTAGAAGTAGTAGGAGTATAATCAGAAACCCAAAAGGTTAGGGTTTGAAGAAATTATTGAAGGAGTATAGTACAGTGAAATAAATTTGGAAAGAGAAAAAGATAAAGACATGAGGAATTCAGAAGATTAGAATTTGGTAGAACACAAAGAGTGGATGCACCTTCGCCATTGCAAACGATTTTGAGCCATGTCATTCAAGGTCTCTAACCATCGGTTGCTGTCATCTCGCGAATCCCAACCAGGTAGTCTACACCTACCAACATGGCTCAGTTCAATTGTCAGTGACTTCATTGATTTGTGCCACGTTTTGGTCTGGCCACCCCTAGCTTTCTTCCAACCTACTCCTACACCATGAAGCATTGCTCGTCGGGGCAGTCGGTGGTCGGGCATACGTAACACATGTCCCAACCATCTCAACTGATGAAGTTTCACTACTTCATCAATCGATTTGCCATCCTTACCTAGTACTCGTTTCCTAACAACTGCATTACTTACCCGGTGGTCCCAGGATATACGAGCAATGCTTCGAAGACACCTATGATCGAACACTAGTAGCCTACGAATATCCTCTACTCTTATGGGCCATGTTTCACTGCCATAAAGTAGGACGGAACGAACTGATGCGCAGTAAACCCGTCCTTTGGTTGCTAGACGGATATCTCGCCTACGCCATAAATGACGCAAGTTGGCGAAAGCTAGACGAGCCTTCTGTATCCGTGCTGAGATTTCGTCACATACCAGACCACAAGGGCTGATGAGACTCCCAAGATAAGTGAAGTGGTCTACACGCTCAACTACTTCACTCCCTATCATTAGTTCAGGAGTCGCTGCAACCCAATCCTGAAGTAACATTTTGCACTTCGAGGGAGAGAATCGCATCCCGAACATGCGTGCATAGCTGCTTATAGCGGTCAGAAGACTCTGTATGTTGTCAGTGTTTTCACCGAGTAAAACTATGTCGTCGGCGTATTTTAAGTCAACAAGTGAGCCTCCCGGTAAAAGTTCAACTTCTGGAGGTTTAGCTGATGAAGGTGCTATCTCTAAAAGTATGTCAATGACAAAGTTAAACAAGAATGGGGAGAGTGGACAGCCCTGACGAACACCACTTGAGGTAATCAGTTCTGATGACAGTTCGCCATAGGCTCTAACTCAACCAGTTGTGTTCGAGTAGAGAGCCTTTATGAGGTTAATGTACTTATTTCAGTGACAAACACTGCCATAGAACCTCACGATCAACGGAGTCAAATGCCGCCCTAAGGTCAAGAAATACTACTATTGTGGGACGTCTGAATTTGTGTCTATGTTCTAGAACCTGACGTAGAGTGAACATCTGGTCTATACAACCACGCCCAGGTCGAAAACCAATCTGGTTTTCTCTAGTCTGCTCTTCACGAGCTTTGGTTAGGCATCGAAGTATTATTGAAGCTAATATTTTAGACACTATATTAGTCAAACTGATTCCTCTGTGATTGTCACAAGAGGACTTTTGTCCTTTCTTATAGACTGGCACAATCGGTGATTGGGACCAGTCAGATGGAATTACGTCCACTTCCCAGATTCTACCTAAAACACCAGTCAATCTCACTGCTAGTACTAGACCACCATCATTAAAAATCTCAGGGGTCAACCTGTCAGGATCTGCTGCTCTCCCTAGCTTCAGATTTCCTATAGCTTTTTCAACCTCACAGAGGGTTGGAGGACTTACCTCAATTCGCCATTCAGGACGACTGGGGATCGTGGGTAATTGAAGTGTGGCTGAAGGCCAGTTGAACTGATCCCTAAAGTGTCCTGCCCATCGATCCAATTTCCTGGATTGAGAATGTATAATATGCCCATCTTTATCTGAGATGGTTTCACTAATATTCGGGTTCCTAATACCGGTTTTTTTAACGAGTCTGAATAGCTGCCTACTGTTACCTATTGCCGCTGCCTTTTCCATCTCTCTTGCTTTCACTACCCACCACTGTTCACGATCATTACGTAGGCTTCTTATAAGCCTGCGTTTAAGTTGACTCCGCTCTTCGTTATGTTCAGAGCCAGGTGGGATGAGTTTACGAGCATCTATCAGTGCGGTAGATGCTGCCGAGATCCATTGTTTCTCCCTAACGTTATGGTTTACCTTACTAGCGGATATCACTGCTGTTTCCACAGCTTTTCGGATGTCATTCCACACTGCCTCGGGGTGGACACAACTTACATGGCTGCCTAACTGTTTTTCTAGTTGTTCCTGAAATATATTCTTAGCTTGCCTATCATTAAGTAGAACCCTTAGAGGCTTCCCTGCAGTGTCTTTCCTACGACCAGTAAGACGCAGACAGATACGTGCTCGCACTAGAGCATGATCTGAATCTAAACATGTGCCCCAGAATGAGCGACAGTCTTCTATCGAGCCCCTCCATCGGTGGCTGATAGCGATGTGATCTAAGTGGGTCCAACGTTGGAACGAATTCGGGGGTCGCCATGTCAAAAGATGTTTTTCCTTATGCTTAAAGTTAGCATTTGCAAGAAATAGGCGGTTATCTGAGCATAGCTGCAACAGACGGTCGCCATTATCTGTTCTTTTCGCCATGACACCATAAGATCCACCCAGATGTCTTTCCCTTTCACTTAGTTTACCTACTTGAGCATTAAAGTCACCTGCCACTATTACTACATCAGAACGCCTAGCTTCTCGGAGAAGGTCAGAAAGCTTCCTGTGAAACTCATCTTTTATATCCTCTGAGCTGCAGTCAGTGGGAGAGTAGGCAGAGACGACGAAGAGGCAACGACGAGTTTCCTTATCTTTCCGGGTCCTTACTGATCCGTTTAGTCGGACAGCGCATAGACGACTGTCTACTGGGATCCAGTCTAAAAGAGCTAGTTCTGCCCTAGGACTTAATGCTATACCTACTCCAGCGAGGCCACGGGAAGCAGCATCAGGGCTTCCAGATACACGAAGCGTGTATCGAGGTGAATCTTTATTTTGATTAGGTGCGGTCAAATGAATGACACTACTCGGATCTTGTATGCGCGTTTCGGAGACGCAGCACACATCGATGGTGTAAGATTCTAGAGTCCTAGCTAAGGAAGCCTGTTGTCCTATTTGGCACAATGTTCGGACATTGAAAGTTCCTACATGTAGTTTAGAGCGTGGTTTCAGGAGACCAGGAATAACGTTTTGTGTACTCGAATCGTTTGCCCTAGCGGTGCGAGGTGATAAAAGGACGTGGGAAGGGTTAGTCGTGGAGATAACAGAGTTATTAGGCGTAGGAAGGATTTGAAAGCGACCAACTTGGTCTCGTGTGCAGTTAAGGGTATGAGAGCTAGTATCACTTCCCGGCTGCCCACACCGTGGAAGGGGAAATCATGAGTCAATTGAAGCTAGACCACCATCAAAAACCTGGAAGCACTGGACGGCCGTTTCGTCCTATTATGGGACTCCTCAGCAGTGCGCATCCACGATCCCGCACTCGCGAGATTCGAACCCAGGACCTACCTATTTGTATGTATTTATATGTATGTACTTAGATTACATGAAACAAACTTACATTTAACAGTGGATACACCTCCTTTAATGCATGTAATGATAACAGATATCAATTGAAGAATATGAGACCAATTTATACGATTCAGATCATGATTGCGCAGGGTAATAAGGAGACGTTCAGAAATGTAATTCAGATCTAATAAAAGAACAAACTACAAACTTCAATAAAAACAAATTTCTATTTAACAACAACCTACTTGTATTATACAATATCGTCTAGATGGATTTAATTCCATAAAAGTTAAATAATCCCTTTGAAAGTATTCATAAACTTATTGTTATCATTACAAAAGAAAAATGTATGGATGTATCCTACTTGAATGATCAGATTTCCATAGTAAAAACTTCTCAAATAGATTTTCAATAGAATGTTTAATCTCTTCAGTTGAATTCACACTACATAATAATTTGTGAATATAGTTGTGAGTTGTTTCCCAATCTGAAAATTTCAAAATATATATAATGAAGAAATGTCTTTTTGGAGGTTATAATTATGGTTGAGAATTTATCAAATAAATAAAATTATAATCTAACACTGTTGGATGCCGGCTCAGTGGTTAAGTATTCGCGCGAGAGACTGATAGATCCTGGGTTTGATACTCGCGAGGCGGGATCGTGGATGCGCACTGCCACTGAGGAGTCCAACAGTAGGACGAAACGGCCGTCCAGTCCTTCCAGATTTCACATGGTGGTCTAGCTTCAATTGACTAATGATCTCAACTATATATAATCTAAGTGTTATAAAATCAGAATGCTTTTAAAAGTAAATATTTATGTACTTTTGTTTAAGCTGGTTTTTGCATCAGATATGATGATAATAATACTATTCAGTTAATGAAGACACCAAACGCCCTGATACGGCAGAGAGTGGGGAGAGAAAGCTCTCCCTCTCCAAATGCTCTCACATAGCCACGCGTATATAGCCTGTGTCAGGGAAGTCCTACTCACTGCCTTCTCTCACCACGGGTGTTGTTTACGAAACTGGAAGGACAAAAGGCGAATGTCCGGCGCTTTAACAGGGTTGGTGGACACGGAAATTCCACCCAGAGGAGTTGGGAAACCCTGATTCCAAACCATTGGTGCACATGGGCTTCAGTATCCTGAGGTAAAAAATGGCGTATGAACCAATCGTTGATCACTGGCTACCATGGAACTGCATCTCCTTACGATGCTCCACTACCTTGTGGATTAGACCCTTAGGTCAAAGGCTCCGGGTGTGGCCCCTTAAGAAAAGCACCTGTTTCAGTCTGGGCATTCGGGCAGTATCATAGCCCTTACACAAATCAAATGAGATTTGTGCGGCGCATATATATCTGGTGCCCCCTTTAACCAATATTTAGGTGTTTAAATAATAATAAGAGTTAATTAAACTGGAGTAACATTTGTATATGCGAAACCGAAGGAAAAATACTAGTACTACTAGTGCTACTAGATCAGCTGTTTTCATTATGATCTTCTTGATAAGATCTTGAACGTTGGACAACTTAGTATTTTGAGACGATGCTGAACACGACAGAAACTAGAGAATAGTGTTAGTCTTGCTGTTTAGTCTTAATGAGTCATTTATAATTTGCAAAATGCATTTTTAAACTAAGAAAAGTATTTTAGTTGCTGTCTAGTATATAATATCCTGGTTCTTTAATTTGCTGGCTGCACTTTTTGACCACAGATGACTTTTATTCAAATTAGTCTGGATCACTTGACAATAAAGTGGATCTATAAGAATGAGATGAAACATCTTCACTTGATTCACTATAATGCCAACGTTTTATCTTATTGTTCTGATATACTTAGACTGTCAAGGGGTTAATAATATTATGGCTAATTATCCACTAATTGAGTTATTAATGCTTGAGGAATCATGTTGTCATTTGAACAATCAAGCATTTGAATGACTCCCCCTCCTTTATTTCATTCTATATGATAGGAAGCATTTACACTTTTCAATCACCCAAATTATATTTTATTTTGTTTAACAACAATACATTTTATCTTTGAATTGCATAAATAGATCTCTTCAGCTTCTTCAATGTTTTCTTTCTAATGAATTACTGATTCACAACTGCACATTAGGGAATAGATAGTCATTGCAAACGATTTTGACTCATGTCATTCGGAGTCTCTAACCATCGGATGTTATAACCTCGCGGATCCCAACCAGGTAGTCTACACCTACCGGAATGACTCGTTCCACTTGTCAGTGAGTGACTTTATGGATTTGTGCCATGTTTTGGTCTGGCCACCCCTAGCTTTCTTCCAACCTACTCCTATGCACGTCGAGGCAGTCGGTGGTTGTGCATACGTAACACATGTCCCAACCATCTCAACTGATGAAATTTCACTACTTCATCAATCGATTTGCCATCCTTACCTAGTACTCGTTTCCTAACAACTGCATTACTTACCCGGTGGTCCCAGAATATACGAGCAATGCTTCGAAGACATCTATGATCGAATACTAGTAGCCTACGAATATCCTCTACTCTTATGGGCCATGTTTCACTGCCATAAAGTAGGACGGAACGAACTGATGCGCAGTAAACCCGTCCTTTGGTTGCTAGACGGACATCTCTCCTACGCCATAAATGACGCAAGTTGGCGAAAGCTAGACGAGCCTTCTGTATCCATGCTGAGATTTCGTCATACACCAGACAACAAGGGCTGATGAGGCTCCCAAGATAAGTGAAGCGGTCAACACGCTCAACTACTTCACTCCCTATCATTAGTTCAGGTGCCGATGCAACCCAATCCTGAAGTAACATTTTGCATTTCGAGGGGGAGAATCACATCCCGAACATGCGTGCATTGTTGCTTATAGTGGTCAGAAGACTGCATTTTGTCAGCATATTCACCAAATAAAACTATGTCATCGGCATATTCTAAGTGTACACGTGAGTCTACCAGTAAAAATTCAACTCGTCTAAATTTAGATGATGATAGTGTTATTTCTAAAAGGATGTCAAAGACAAAGTCAAACAAGAATGGGGAGAGTGGACAGCCCTGACGAACACCACTTGAGGTAATCAGTTCTGATGACAGTTCGCCATAGGCTCTAACTCAACCAGTTGTGTTCGAGTAGAGAGCCTTTATGAGGTTAATGTACTTCTTTGGTACTCCTTTCAGTGACAAACACTGCCACGGAACCTCACGATCAACGGAGAAATACTACTATTGTGGGGCGTCTGAATGTGTGCCTATGTTCTAGGACATGACGTAGAGTGAACATCTGGTCTATACAACCACGCCCAGGTCGAAAACCAATCTGGTTTTCTCTAGTCTGCTCTTCACGAGCTTTGGTTAGGCATCGAAGTATTATTGAAGCTAATATTTTAGACACTATATTAGTCAAACTGATCCCTCTGTGATTGTCACAAGAGGACTTTTGTCCTTTCTTATAGACTGCCACAATCGGTGATTGGGACGAGTTAGACGGAATTACATCCAGTTTCCAGATTCTACCCAAGACAGTCAATTTCGCTGCTAGTACTGGACCACCATCATTAAAAATCTCAGGGGTAAACCTGTCAGGGCCTGCTGCTCTCCCTAGCTTTAGATTTCCTATAGCTTTTTCAACCTCGTAAAGAGTTGGAGGACTTACATCAATTTGCCATTCAGGACGACTGAGGATCGTGGGTAATTGAAGTGTGGCTTAAGGCCAGTTGAACTGATCCCTAAAGTGTACTGCCCATCGATCCGACCTCCTGGATTAAAATGAATGATATATCCATATTTTTTCGAGATAGATTCGCTAACAGTTGGATTCTTAATACTGGTTTCCTTGACAAAACTGATCAGTTGTCTGCTGTTACCTATTGCCGCTGCCTTTTCCATCTCTCCTGCTTACGTTACCCACCACCACTAGGCACATATATACATCGGTCCAAGTTGTTACACTCCATTAGCACAACAGGATGGATACCAAATTCATAGAAGTTAACTCAATGGTATTATTATATAAGAGGAAGATTGCATACAAGGATACGATACAGGGAGAAATAATTATCTCGTAGAAGTAAAGGTATAAACTAATTTTAATCACAAGGTTTAGGGGAAGACAAAGAGCGTATACACCGTCACCATTGTGATAGATTTAAGGCCATGTCACCCACAATCTCCAACTATTGGTTACGATGGTTGCGCAACTGAAAACAATTAGAACGGAATGCACACGTCGAAACAGGTGGAATAGTTATTTTCGATATAAATTTCCAATGGAAGTATAATATTAACGATTCACAGAGGCGCAACACCAAGGAACAATTAGATCACAACAACCTATCCGATATTTTCAAACCGATCTTCCTACATACATATGCCAGCGATTATGTTGTATCGAAGTTTTTGAACAACGTGAGACATTTTCCTCAGTTTACAGTTTTTAGGAACATGATATGGATTTGTAGAGTGACTTGCTAAACCTATCGCAAACTCCTTTCTTTTTGGTTAAAATACTTAAGGTTACACCATTCTGTGTTTTTTAAACGCAACATTTGTAAAGACAATGGAATTCAATGTGAATTATTTAGATCAGAATTCTATAAGGAAATTTACGTGTTGTACATGTTCCAAGTTAGATGCTTGAACAAGACTAAAATACCCCAGTTCATATTTCACACTCAAATATATGATGAAAATCAGCACTGACATTTTTAGCCTGAGTGAGCTCATAGTTTCGCTCTGAGCAAACATATCACGGTTACTTAGAATTCCAGTGTTGTCTTTGGTCCAGCTATGATTCAACATTTAATATGAAAGACAGTCACAGAGTAGTGTTTATTTCGGTGATATATGCAATCATACCTGCTTCATCCTGCATTTCTTTCGCGGTCATTATTTCGAGAGAACAAACAACCAAATGACCTTGAGATTTTCACGTTACCGCCTCAAAACGTTTCGCTGTATTGCCGCAGCAGTAATGGTACAAATAATTCAAATGGTTGAGGACGGAATAGAAAAAGCTTTCGATTAACGGGCTTCCGTGTCTAGTAGCAGTGGATCACTAATACCTCCAGGCAAAAACTTAGGTGTATGAACGATAATAGAGAAAAAAAAGAATTTGGTAAATCATAATAATATGTTATCCTTAGTCCTTAAGAATAAGTCAAGTTTCCTCTTAAAGGACTCCTGGGAGGTCGCTTGGACTAGCTCAGTCGGCAGCGAATTCCAGCACTTGACAACTCTAATGGAGTAGAAGTTGTGTCTGCAGTCTGTTCTGCTATGTAGGGTCTCCAATTTCTGGGTGTTACCTCTTGGGTTAGTGTTGGGACTAAGCTTAAGAAGATGTTTAAGGGGATGACCAGAAGTATTAAGAATACTGTAAGTCATAAGAAGGTCACTTCTAAGACGCCTGTACTCTAACGGGTAAAGGTTAAGTGATTTGAGGCGCCCTTCATAAGGTTTGAATTTGAGTCCCCGATCTGATTTCGTGGCCCGACGTTGGATACGTTCCAGAATGTCCTTATTCTTTTGGAGGAAGTGAGGAAATACTATGTTTCCCTACTCCAAATGGGGACGAATAAAACTGTTGAAGATTATGTGGAAGGTTCTATCGTCAAATTGGCCAAAAATGCGCTTCAATGTTACCAGTACGAGGTTTGCTTGAGAGGCGTTTTTGTCACAGTTCGCATACGATTTCAGGTCGTTGGGTACCAACACTCCTAAATCTTTTTCAACTTGGGAAACTTCTAGAGGGTAGTTACCTAAGTTATAACTATAGTCTGCAACATGTCTCAGATGGACTACCTTGCACTTTGAAGTGTTGAAGGTAAGTCCGTTGTCGTCTGCCCAACTTTGAAGTCGGATCAGATCCTCCTGAAGAACTAGTATATCATTATGATTACGTATCTCTCTCCAAAGTTTCACATCATCAGCAAAAAGCAATAAATCAGATGAAACTTGTTGAGGAAGATCGTTAATATAAATCAAGAAGAGAAGAGGTCCTAGTATTGAGCCCTGGGGGACCCCACTAGGACATTCCATAGCCTGAGAGAGAGTGAAGTTATCCTGACCTTAAAGTGTCAGTTTTCTAAATATGAAGAGAGCCAATCAATCAAAGGGGTTTTTATACCCAATCGTCCAAGCTTCTTGATAAGACATGCATGGTTGACCCTATCAAAAGCTTTTGAGAAGTCCAGGTAAATGACGTCAACCTTCCCCTTGCGATCAAGGATGGTTGTCCATCTATCCACCGCAGTCAGCAGGTTGATCATACAAGAATGACCTTTTCTGAAACCATGCTGTTGAGGCGAGAAGAACTTTGAGGATGATAAGTGTTCTAGTATGCCGTCGGATACTAGGGATTCCATAATTTTTGAAGATATGGAGAGAAGGGCCACTGGTCGGTAGCTTGAGGGTTCACTACGTCAACCTCCTTTGAAAATTGGTGTGATGTGGGCCAGCTTCCAAGTTTCCGTTAGTTTGCCTCTGCTTAACGAGTGTGCAGACATCACGCTAAGTGGTGTTGCCAGGATTGAAGCTGCTTCCCTCAATACAGCGGAATGAACCATATCCGGACCAGGAGAAGTGTCTTTTCTTAGGTGCTGTAGTTTACGGAGCACCAGGTCAGCACTCAGGTCCACTTCGGAAGATCCTGTAGAGGTGCACGTGAAGCGTTCGTCAGTATAGTTGATGTGGGTCAGCTGGAATGTCTAGTAGTATTGTTCAGCCAAAAGGTTGGCGGCATCTTCGTCGTTATTGGTCGGGCCATTAGGACAAAGCAGTTGGGAAACTCCAGTTTTGCCGTGTCGAAGAGAAGCTGCGTAAATGAATAGGCTTTTCGGTCTGGAACTGAAGCCTGTCTTCTCTTATTGCCTTTGTGCATATGTTCCTTATATGTTTGTATTGCCTGTACGCGCCGTTGTAATAAGTTCGTTTATATTCAGCCCAACAGTGCCTTTCGCGGCTTAGGAAACAACGAGTGCGGTTCTTCATGACTGAATGTTGTTTGTAGCTTTTTGGGACTATTTGAGGAACTGAATGCTCAGTAGCACATAAGATCTGTGCAGTAAAAAATCCCAATGAGCATCCACTTCAATTTGAGGGTGAACATCCCAATCCACCTGTTGTAGGTAGTCCTGTAAAGCTAACACATTCAACCGTTTGAAGTTTCAGCGCTTGTTGCTAGTAGGATATCGTAGCTCCGTCTTGCTGACAAAGCTGAATGATAAGACGGCGTGATCACTTTTGCCCAGGGGAGCCAGGATTGAGTGGTCGTCAACTAGGAATTCTTCATTTGTGAATACCCAGCCTAAGCGTGACGGCGTCTGACTTTTTCTCCGACGAGTTGCCGACTTCACGTCTTCGAATAATCCCAGGTCACCGATGAGGTTGAAGAATAGAGCTTCAGAAGAGTTGTCATCTCCAATGTATGTATGTTCCACGAAGTTCATTCTAGGAAGATGGAAGTCCCCTAGAATCAGGATTTGAGAGAATATGAGACGCGTAGAGCGAGTTAATCCTTCCAGCAGACGTTTGTCATACTCGGTGTCGGCAATTGGCTTCCTGTAGATGACCCCAACTAGACACTTCGAGGTGGTAGACAATCTTACTGAGCATCATACTGACTCATCAAGATTGAGAAACTCTTGGTTGTGAAGTTGGTGCGCATCCAGGCATGACCGTATGTATAGTGCTACCCCACCCCCCATTCCTGTTTTTCTGTCGTTGCGAAATAAAGACATCCCAGTTATTGCTAACTCCTGGTCCGTAAACTGAGACGTTATCCAAGTTATTATTATTATTACTCCATTTCCCCATTACTTATGTCTTATATTCTCATTATTTTATTCATGAATACTCATCATATCACCTTATTTATTTTTCATGGTTGAAAGCGTGAATCAATTGAAGCTAGACCACCATGGAAAACCTGGAAACACTGGACGACCGTTTCATCCTATTATGGGACTCCTCAGCAGTGCGCATCCACGAACCCGCTCTCGCGAGATTTGAACCCAGGACCTACCAGTCTCGAGCACTGCTGAGGAGTCCCATAATAGGAAGAAATGGCCGTCCAGTGTTTCCAGGTTTTCCAAGGTGGTCTAGCTTCAATTGACTCACGCTTTCAACTATGAAAAATACTAAATCTCCACAAAACCCCTTTTGATTATTTATTTTTACACATCTATGACCTTTAATGACCTCTAATTATGGTAACAAAATATTTTGAATCATTTTAATCATCTTATTATATTCACTAAATCTATTGTTACTACTTTTATTACGTAATCTAGTAATATAATCTTGGTTATTAGTGTTCACATTTCTTCACGGAATTAGTACTTTAACAACTGGATAATAAATTCGTTGAAAAGAGATCCTTTCGCTGAACTTCGTATTTTTGATTTTAATGTTTAAATGGGAATTATCTGATTGAATTTAGGGCAACCAGATATCGTATCTTATTGCCGGTTGTCAGGTGGTCGGGAGGAAATCCTGTTTGACATAGGTCTCTTCTTAATTGATCAATATCGTCAACAAGACAACTGAACTCTCCAAGGGACTTATAGTCCATAAAACATTCGAATCCATATCATCCAGCTACATAATTTGAGATATTACCATATGGTTATTAGAACCGTGACTAATCACATTTAAGTATACGTAATCTACAATTGATTGATCATTCACAATGGACACTTCTCAGTGACTTATCAATCGTATCACTAGTTTATGCAAACAATTGCATGTTAAGTCAAAGAGCCGGTTAATTCAACCTGTACTACGTAGATAGGTCTCGTCGATTAAACAAATAACACAGGCTAAAATTGTGTACGGTAATCGGTGTTCAGGCATACGTAACACGTGGCCTAACCATCTCACTCGATGAAGATTCATGACCTCATCAACTGATTTACCATCATTCCCTAATACCCTGTGTCTAAACTCGCTATTACTTACCCGGTGATTCCAGCAGATGCGAGCAATATTTCTAAGACATCTGTGGTCAAATACTAGTAACTTACGAGTATCTTCTACTCTTAATGGCCATGTTTCACAACCGTAAAGTAGAACAGAACGAACTGTTGCGCAGTATACTCGTCTTGAAAAGAAGTAAACACTTTAGCTTCCAGTCTACTACTATTATATCAATCAAACAGCAATTAACATCGAGATAGGTAGTGACTAAACATGAATGTAATACGTATCAGAGATAATTAGAACAATAATGACTTATCTCTTCAACAATCAACATAAAAGTTTTATTTACATACATCATTATGGGAAAACAATCACGTGAACAGTCAAAAATAAATCGACTATCAACAATGCTTTAATATCGGATTAAATACAGTACTGAACCACTACGACCATTATCAAGAAGGTACAAGTATTTATAAACAATTATCTATGCAAGATAACCGATATCCGTTGACCGGATACCATCAACAACAGCCTATTGTGGGAGAGGACGAACCAACTTGCAGCTGAAGATGAAATTAGGGAAAGATGTTGGAAGAGGATCGGACATACATTGAGGAAATCACGAGGCCATCCCTAACTTGGAATCCGAAATAGAAGTGAAAAAGAGGAAGGCCAAAGAACACATCACGCCGGGAGATTGAAGAAGATATGAAAATGATGAGTGTTAACTGGAAAGGATTGCCCAGGACGGAGTTGGATGGAGAATGCTAGTGTGCGACCTATGCTCCTTCATGAGGGGCAACAAAGGCGTAAGTAAGTAATATTAAAAATTTGAGAAAAAATCTACTACGCTGTTTAAGAACATAGTCTATCTAAATTGGATAAATTTTCGATTAATGGTTTATATATCGATTTATAGTTAAACTGATTTAATTATTACTGACTTAGTGTATGTTGTAACTAGGCATTAGTCTTATTTAGCATACAGTCACACACACCATACAAACAAACATGTATACTGATGTATTCATGAAGTGTACCCGTACACACATATCAACAGTCATTAGTCATGAACAATAAAGAACTTAATTGATATGCCATTACAAGCACTATTACTACTACTACTAATGATAATAATACCCACTTAATCATATTATGTAATGATAATCAATGAACTGGAACTATTCGAAAACCAAAATCGTCGTAATCTGTAAACAATCGAGTGAACTAACTAACTAATAATAGTTGAAATGTCATCAAATTTCGTTTCCATACTTATGAATGAACCAGTACACTTATAGTATAGTTACTAAAACGTATAAACATTGATACAGACCGAAACATAAATATGTGCTGAGATAATACCATATATATTTATACGGTCTATCACAGTTAATATTTGAAATGAGATAGGGTTCGAACCTACAACTTTACGGTTAAAAGTCAAGTCGTCTATGAATTTTAATCTTGTATATAACGACATCCAATCTTTTGTAGTACGTGTCATATTGTTCGAAATCAAATTCTAAATGCACGATTTTCAAAATCACCTATCCCCATTAAGTACAAAATTCAAATTTGACTGACTTACTTAGCATAACGGCGATATTTTATATAAACATTATCACAAAACAGATTACCGAAATCATGATGAATAAATTGCTTAGACGATGTCAAAATGGAAGACAATTCAGTGATAGACATTGATGGACGATTTTGGTTGAAAGATGACATTTGAACACCACCAGCACATTCAGAATATAAATTATATACATTTAATCCCTTCATAGCAGTTTCATATAGTTGACTAACCTATAAACAAACCAATAACATAGTATTACCAGTTGAATTCATGAATCGATTTAAGTTAGATTACCATTGAAAACCTGGAAGTACTAGACGTCCAGTGACTCATTAATTCAAGTCTGAAAATATTACAGTCTCCACAAATTTCCATTCTTACTTACTTACCAACGCCTGTTATCCCTCATGGAGGAGCATAGGCCGCTCACCAGCATTCTCCATCCAACTCTGCACTGGGCAATCCTTTCCAGTTAACACTCATCATTTTCATATCTTCTTCTATTTCTCCTCGTGATGTGTTCTTTGGCCTTCCTCTTTTTCACTTCTATTTCGGATTCCAAGTTAGGGATGGCCTCGTGATTTCCTCAATGTATGTCCGATCCTCTTCCAACATCTTTCCCTAATTTCCTCTTCAGCTGCAAGTTGGTTCGTCCTCTCCCACAATAGGCTGTTGTTGATGGTATCCGGTCAACGGATATCGGTTATCTTGCATAGATAATTGTTTATAAATACTTGTACCTTCTTGATGATGGTCGTAGTAGTTCTCCACATTTCACCTCCGTACAGTAGGACTGTCTTAACGTTCATATTCAAGATTCTCACTTTGAAATTAGTTGACAGTTATTTTGAGTTCCATATGTCCCTAATTGTGGGAGTGCAGTCCTTGCTTTACCAATTCTCGCCTTTACACCTGTATCAGACCCACCTTCTTCATCAATGATGCTTCCCAGGTACGCGAATGTTTCCACATCTTCCAGAGTTTCGCCATCAAGTGTGAATGGGTTGATGTTCTCCGTGTTGTATATTAGAATCTTGCTTTTTCCTTTGTGTATGTTGAAGCCTATTGATGCAGAGGCTGCTGCTACATTTGTTGTCTTCGTCTGTATTTGTTCGTGTGTATGAGATAGAAGTGCTAGGTCATCTGCGAAGTCCAAATCATCTAATTGATTCTGAGATATACATTGTATTCCATGTTTCTTCTCAGATGTCGAAGTCTTCATAATCCAGTCAGTCACCAGAAGAAAGAGGAAGGGGGAGAGTAGACAGCCTTGTCTGACTCCCGTCCCTACTGTAAATGCATCTGTCAACTGTCCTCTAAGCATCACTTTGCACTGTAGTTCATCGTATGGGTTCCGGATAATGTTGACAATCCGCCTGTAGCTCTTCTAGAGTTACTGTCGGTCCCAAGCCCGGACAAAGGAGGAAGGTTGAGCATAGGGTTAGCGACCCCTCCCGTAGAAAAACTAACTCGCTAAAAAACGCTTAATCTCCATTCTGATTACAACATAATTGTAAGAAACTACAAAAAAGGATTCACAGATTCCAAATATTTCATGGTATGGTGTGTTACGAAAAAGAATTCAAGAATAGTAAATATGTTCTGGTAAAAATTGATTGTCATTGTACAACTCTTAAACAATTGTGGAATCATGATCATGATAACGTAGATCATGGTATAACAGCTACACATACTACTGAAAAAGTAGATAAAGCACATAGTATTACATGAAGTACACACTGATTACACTATCAGCACAAGATTGCTAGAACTCAAATATGTGTCCCAATTAGTTAACACATATAATGGCCATTTAAAAGTGTATATGTAAGTTTTTCCTTCCATGAATAAGTCATATTTAATGTTCAAACAATGAACCTGAAAGCAAATGTGTTTATTCTTCTTAATATATTTCTGTATGTGTGTATGGGGAAAGGTTAGGATATTTCATTGCACCTAAACTGAAACAGAAAACTCTCTTATAGACTATATTTCAGTCTTTAACTTAAAGTTCTTATCCACAAGGTGGTGGGAGCACAACAAGAGGTGCCATCCCATGGTTACCGGTGACCAAAACAGATAAACACGCTATCCATTTTTTCACGATACTGCAGTGCATGTAACACAACTGGTTTGAAGTTAGGGTTTTCGGACTACCTTAAGTGGAACTTATGTATATCTCAACCCGTTTTGAGTCCAACACGTTCACTTCCCGTCCACTTTCGTCCGTAAAAAACGCCTCTACAACGAGGACCCAGTCAGCAAGACTCCATTACTAAAGGCTCAAAACACGTATTTGTATGAGATCTTGAAAGGGGGATGCAGAAACCCCTCTTTTAGCTTCACCATAACACATATGTGCAAGATAAAACGTATTCCCAGTATGTGAAAAGATTAAAGGTATCTACAACTAACTTATAAAACACGACAATCGTAATGTATGAAAATATTGATTCAAATAAAAAGTATTGTTGGTGAAATGTGATCTATTTTTATTTAGGTTATCAAACCAGAAAGCATTTACCTAAATGTTACAGTTAAATAGCCTGTGGCTTTACGAAGCTCTTTGACGGTCCCCTAACACAGTTTTCACACACCTTTAGCTCAACTACTCTAACACACGTCAGAATGGAGACGGTGAATAAGACATATGTAATGTACTCATGCCCAGTTCAACTGAAACTACACGTTCAATGTGTAAGTGATGAGGAAATATTTGTGAAAACAACGAAACAAATTACATCGATACTAAAAGTCAGTAAACAGACTGAATATGAATAAACTAACTCACAATCCTTTGACATTCGAGTGATTCACTATCGGTGAACATACAAACGGTTGAACATTTATCTTTGCAACATTTATTAATTAGATCATTCCATGAACTAAGGAACAAAGATGAAGGGGAATAAGGGTAGAAGGAAACATTGATAGCCGTATAAAATCATGACTATTTTGCACAGAATTAAGCATTTGATTTGAATAAAACATATAACATCTATAAGTGTGCTCATTGTATTCTCTCTATTTATCGCTTCAGTGTTGGTTCGTCTCTTCATAACTATTAAACTATAACATAGTGAACAGTTCAGGGAGGTGCTGATTAGTAGATCAAATTTAATTCTGCTACTCCTACCCACCCTCTCGAAAAACAACTGTAAGACTTAATTTCAATCCACATTATTAGTAGTACGCCTCTCTCAGCAACCAACTTGTGTGTGTGCAAGTAGAGTAGTAGTAATTTGTTCAATAAATGTGCTAAATTATATGAGAACAACATCATTTCATAGAAATTTGAGCACAGTAATTTTATCATACTTTAAACTCCTCTAACATTTAAGGAAATGCGCTTCTTTCATTCCAATTTGACAACTATCAAAAACATTACGAAAACTCCTCACATGTAGAACTTTCAAACTGACTATCCCGTTATAAGCAAAAATGGATAGTGGCCAGCAGTGGAATCCAGTTTGACGTGCGTTTCGTCCTATTTGGGACTCGTCGGCTGGATGTACCTGCCACATCTCGGAGTTGATGTTCACTCTGAGACTCGAACTCAGTACCTTTCGCTTCAAACGGCATCGCGTTATCCACTCAACTACTGAGTCCTGATAGCCACTTGCTTGAGTCCCAGAGTGAACACCAGCTCTGAGATGCAGGTACATCCAGCTGACGAATCACAAATAGGTCGAAACGTGCGTCAAACTGGATTCCACTGCTAGCCACTATCTATCTATGCTTATAATGTTTGTGAATTTAGGCTATATCGAGGCAGTCCGCACATGATGTGCATATGCCAATAAGAGACTGATCAATTGCAGTCTTAAACATCAACAGGAAGATTCAAACAAACAATACTAAGTGAATATCCCGTTTTTTAGGCTATATCGTCTATCTGAGTGTTTTATGCTAACTTGGAAGTGATTGTCTACCAGTTCACAAACATTAATTTAATTGGCAACAGTGTAGATCGCTTTCCTTAGTCATAATATCTAGACAATTTGTGAATCTTCAAAGTTGAAATCATGAGTCAATTGAAGCTAGACCACCACCGAAAATCTGGAAGCACTGGAAGGCTTTTTCGTCCTATTATGGGACTCCTCAGCAGTGCGCACACACGATCCCTCGCCAGCGAGATTCAAATCTGGGACTTACCAGTCTCGCGCCAGAGCACTTAACCGATAGACCACTGAGCCGGCATCCAACGGCGTTAATGTCTAACTTCAACCAATTCTTGTTTTGCAGATCATTTCCGAAATGAAAAATGGTCAAACTGAGGAGAAGTTGGATAAAAATCTGAAGAAAATGGGAAAAGCCGTATTAAACTTTTGTGATGTTGTCCGCACCGTTGTCCAGTGCTTTTTAAGTTTTAGTTTCATCTTGGCGACCAGCAAATGGTGATCGGATGCTATATCAGCTCCTCTTCTGGTTCTCACATCCTCCATCGTCCTACTGAAATCTTGGTTGATGTAGATATGGTCGATTTGATTCTGTGTAGTGTGATCCGGTGAAATCCAAGTGGCTTTGTGTATGTTTTTGTGTGAGGATATAGTGCCACCTATGACCAGTTTATTGAAGGCACATAGGTTTGCAAATCTCTCACCATTTTCGTTACTTTCTCCCAGTCAGTCCATTTCATCCCACGACGTCTTCGTATCCAGTGTTGTCCTTTCCAACCTTGGCATTGAAATCTCCCATCAGAATGGTCAGGTCTTTGGTTGGGCACTTCTCGAAGATCGACTGCAGTCTATCGTAGAATTGGTCTTTAGCGTCCTCATCGTAGTCGTTGGTAGGCGCATAGCATTGGATGACGTTCATTGTAATGCCTTCTCTCTTTGTTTTGAAGGAGGCTTTGATGATCCTTGGTCCATGAGATTCCCATCCAATAAGTGCATTTTGTGCTTTTCTGCACAGCATCAATGCAACTCCTTGTGTATGTGGGGCATTTTCTTCTTCATGACTGGAGTATAACGGAAGTTCACCTGAAGATGTTTGTTGTTGTCCAATCTGCGTCCAATGTGTTTCACTGATTACAAGCACCTCCAGGTTGTATTTTCTAATTTCTGCAGCACTTTGGAAGACTCTTCCTGTCTCCCACATTGTCCGGACATACCATGTGCCTATAAAAATGTTGCTCTGGTTGTAAGGAGGTGCATCGGCCTCATGACTTCCGAAGGAACTCGGCTTTCATGATGAGACGCCATAATTATTCTTTTTACTCCTAGGGAAGAGTTTACATAGTTTGAATAATTTTTTCTAGTTAGTGCTTTTTGGCAAGTTGGTTTTCTACGGGATGGGGTCGCTAACCCCATGCCCAACCCTCCTCCTTTACCCGGGCTTGGGACCGGCAGTAGCCCTGGAAGGAACTACAACACCTATAACATAACTGACTTCAAATCCAACAACTTCCATGACTGACTAAAAACATTCAGCTATACCAGCATTTTGACACTTCTTTTTAAATGCTCGAAGAACAAGCGTTTATATGATATGTAACCCGATGAACTAATCATCTACAAATTCGTGCTGAGCATACGTAAGTGAGAAATACTATCTGGTTCATCGAACTGAAATGGATGGTGAATCTGAAACCTAAACTAAATTAGTAATGACCCTGTTGACCTGGAAGCGTCATCATCGAAAGGACAGCTACTTAAGGTCAGTTACGCACAATCATCTAATAAGTAGTTCTGAAACATTAACGGCGTCATCGTGAAATTAATTCCATCAGTCTAACATCTGAATGACGTGCCAATTATGATAGGATACAAAAGAACAAATATTCAACTAACACAGATCGATAACATCATCATGATCGGCAACAACAACCACTGCACCAAGGTTACACCTGCGACAATGAACAAGGTTTCGAAATTCTAACTGCATCTATTAAGAGTACACAGTAGCAATAATTTTTTGTTACAAATAACTGTCATTATTTCAAATAAAATGCATCCATTCAAATAAATCTAGTTTGCAATATAAATTGTTCGCTAATCAGTAACTAAGTGTATGATGCGGTGGAGTCTTGAGCGAATGACACTGGTTTCGAGTCCTGGGGTGAACATCAACTCTGGAGTGCAGAGACATTCAGATGATGGGTCCCAATTAAGACGAAACGCATGTTCTGAATCCCACTGTCAGCTGCCATCCATCCCTGCTTATAATGTTTGTGATTTGGTGGCAATATCGAATCAGTACGCACAGGATGCACATATGCCAATATGAAATTAATCAACTGCGGTCCTAAACATCAGTGAAAAGATTCGAACACACAATACAAAAATAAAGTACATTTGACTAAACACGTGGAAAATTAACAAACAAAACCCAATTCCTTGAAAAAGCTTGGACCAGATTACCAGGCGAAACGTTGGATTTACTACAAATTCATTCACTGAGATTTTACAAATATATTACTCCTATTTAAAACCCAGCTGAAATATTATTCCTTTCATTTATTAAACGAATATAATTTAATTCACTTACTATACAAAAGAGCTATTTTCCTTTTTCTTTTGATTATCTTGAACGTTTAATCAACTTCTTTAAATGATCTCTTAAAGAATTTGAGTCCAATAATCGACTGGATCGGGTTTTAGCAAATCAGTAACTTCAAACAAATGTGTATATTGAATACCGACACTGGTCCTCATATCTCTCTCTCGCCTGTTACTCTCAATGGAGCATATGCCACCGACCGGCTTTCTCCAACCCACTCTGTCCTGCGCATTCTATGTACCTATAAAAATAGTCGCTCTGGTTGTAAGAAGGTGCATCAACCTCAGGACTTCCGAGGGAACTCGGCTTTCATCATGAGACGTCATAATTATTCCTTCTACTCCCAGGGCAGAGTTTAAATGGTTTGAATGATTTTTTCTGGTTAGCGTTTTTTAGCTAGTTGATTTTCCACGGGATGGGGTCGCTAACCCCAAGCCCAACCCTCCTCCTTTACCCGGGCTTGGGACCGGCAGTAACCCCCAGAGGAGCTGCAGGCGGAGTTTGGTGCTCATATAGTCTGCTAATTTTAAATTGAAATAGGGAATATGTTATGTATTGTAGATCATTTGACAATCTGTTTGCTGTAACTTATATTTCTCAGTTTCACTTGACAATCATTTTAAGAACTAATTCAATGGGCAAGTCAACCAACTCTTGCTACGAAAACAGACATTAAGGGGACTATGTCCCCTTATAACTTTATTAAAAAGTATTTTATTCAAGAATACATAAACTGGTAAATATCTCCGTGGGAAGACTATAATTTATGGACGAGCCGGTCAGAAACGTTTGAGTGATTACAAAGTCACGAAGCCTATTTCCGTATCCAATGCTCATGTACGATTGACTTACAGCTGACCTTATAATTGAGCGACTACAACGAATGGGATTACGAAGAAGTTCCTTTAAATTTAGTCTTCTGAAGAGGATTTCGAACAAGTGTTTGACCCGTATTCGAAAATCCAATGCACCATGTAAATTACCTTTTTTTCTTATAGAGGATAATAAAAGCTTAAACATTTCAGCATTAAAAGCATTAACTGAACATGAAGTAATAAAAGACAGTGTTAATATTGGGAACTCATTAATCTCATTGCCTAGTCAAGTGGATTCAAACTTGTTCAGTGACATTTACAGACTGGCTTATGATAAAAGTGGTATTATACAGATTATTCAACAGGTTAGGTTTACACTGAGTATCTAATTTTCAGTGAGAATTTAGCAGTCCTCTTAACATGTTGATGACTAATATGAGCGTAAGAAATCTATCCTGTGCTAAACTCGAAAATGACTCCTGGACCTTGTCCAGATTACCATACTGTTGTATTT